CTAATCTTAACTTGGTATAGCCATCACCGCACATTAGTTATCATAATGTGCTTTGGACCATTAACTAATCTTAATATAGCATTTCATCCGTGAATGCATTATTGAAAAGTAGTATTCTACAAGCATTACTGTGAATAAAGTAGTGCCTGGCTATTACTGGGATATATATAATGTCGAATGGTAATACTATCTGTTAATTATTAACAAATAAGTACATTATCGTAAACCGTTAGCAAAGCGACGTGAGTTTGTACTAGTCCCACCGTCCCACCCATGGTATGTCCATCACCGTACATTAGTTATCATAATACGCTTTGGATTATTAACTAATCTTAATATAGCATAGTACATTACTATTACCGGGATATATATAATATCGAATGATAATACTATCTGTTAATTTTTTTATTAACAAATTGAGCATAAACGTATATTTGACAGTTTCGCTTACCAACCTTAACATAGCATTAATACTGTATATAGTAACCATCCTTATTCGGTAAACATACTAATACGAAAGTTACTTAAGGAAATTTGAATTGGTATAGAAATGAATGATTTCTAGGGTTTATGTAAATATTATTGAGAAGGTATAAGTGATTGATACACATTAGTAGGTACTATTAGTTCTATTGCTCTCATGCATTTCGTAGTGTTACCCTACTGTAGTTCCCCTGTACCGGGTTATTTTTGATTGCTATATATCATATAACAAAAAGTGTTTCTAAGAGGATAATGTAAGTTAGTCAGTGATCTGATAGGCGAAAGCGAAATGCACAACGTGAAAATGCACGATCAGTACGTACATTAAATCAATCTGTTTTAAATATAGTAGTACCCGGCTATTACCGGGATATATATAATATCGAATGGTAATACTATCTCGGTATAAAGTTACAGAACCTCTGACAGGTCTACGACAAATGGTAATACTATCTGTTAAATGAGCACATTATCGTAAACCGTCAGCAAAGCGACGGGAGTTTGCACTAGTATCTTTTATTCTGGCTAACTTATCCCGTAGCACTATCTTAACATAGAAGTAACCTATTTTCATGAATCATTCGCGTCTATAAATAACTTCCTCCTGCTGTGCTCCTAAAATTATAAAAGCTCTTCTTTCGTCTATCTCGTTAGTTAGTTCACGGTAAGCTTGCACGCTTTACCTATTCTTCACTAGTTGTTCGACTAGTCATGTTACTCGCACGATAATCTTATACGATTATTCTCTTACACTAGCTCAACAAAGATTACTCTTCTGTTAGCTATTCTATTGTACTTTCTTGCGACTAATGCCGAACTCTTAACCTTCCGAAACATCGCAGAGTTGAAGTATAATTAGCCGGGTGTTACATCAAGCTTTCGCAATCTTGAATTAGTATGTCTACTATAGAATAAGAGCATTTATTGGCATAGTTTGTATTAAAGAGATTAGTGTGCAAATTGTCTAACAGGTATTATCCAGTTTATCTTAATCGTTTTCAACTGTTCTTATGAGGAGGAGATATTAGAAATCTTCTCCGACAGATGGACGTATCAATAAATGTTATTGTTGAAGGCAATTTTTTCTGTATTGAAGTTCGAGTGCCACAGTAGAGAATTACTCAATTTTTGTTAACCCAAATTTTGGATTACGTTGGCAAACGAACAGCAATAGCGGGAGACTATTACTCGGTCATTACATCAGCAGAAGCCAGTAATGAGCTAATGAAAGAAACCTGAAGTTTTCCTCCTCATTAAACTTATTCCAACCAGGTTAATACAGTTATATTTATTGACCCTCGCATATTTAGGACTGTAAAATGTTGCTGCCTTTATTAGACCCTAGTAATTAGTATTGGTGTAGAAGTGATGCACCCATATTTGATTGTGTTAATAGCTCTATTTGATATAGTTAGGTTACTCTCAATAGATATTATCGTGAAGCTAATATTACTTGATTGCTAAGTACTATATTAGAAATTACTAATGACTAATATTAGCCAGTTGACTAATTATGGTACGAGATTTATGTGGCTAGAAACACTGTAGTTATTAAGATGCCCTTCAGAAAAAGGGCCTAGACGTTAATAGAAGAGTAGTGAGAACTTAAATAGAATGATTTAGATAGGTAATGATGTACTATTTGAGAAATGTATTTTGTTTGATACTCATGCCTTATTGTAGATTAATCAAGTTGTCATAAATGGATTTAACGAAATGTGTATAAGAACTGCAGAGATGAGCTCCAGAGAGAAGAGACTTCACTTCGCTTTGAGCTCGGAATACTTCAGATTTTAGACTAGATTCTTGTAGTAATTAATTATTGCTCTACTATACCTAAAACCTTGTAATAAAAGCCTTTAGAAATATCATTTGACAAAGATAGTAATTGTGAGACACTTTAATTACAACTGGGTAAGAATTTTAAGTGTTTTTTACCCTTTCATATGACTTTTAATAAATACGGCAATGATTCAGTGATATTCTGACAGTTGCGTTGAGTATTGAATATTGAGTATTGTGCTTTCAAGTAGTTAGCTACCGTATATTAGTAAAAGGTTAACGTGAGATATCGACATACCATTAACCAGCTCGTAATACAATAAAATCTATAAACGATTTTACCTATTACCTATCCCAATAAACTTGTCTCTTAAAAATTTTAGAATTCTAAAATTATTTTTCTGTAGTTCAATTTAATTTACGATGTCATCCTCAGCAGCTGGTGTTCTTGGTTATTTTTCCAACCTTAATTGAAATAACACTTATTTCTTATGCGATTATTTTGCATAACCGCTGAAAAGTAACAGTAACTAAATAATTACCGATCGATTTATATGCATCTTTTAAATTGCTCTGCATATGTATAAATGCTATCCAGTATTTATTTCTCATGCCGCAATCATCAATTATCGTTAAATGACAACAGTAGCTAAATAATTACTATATATCTTTTTAATTATCCTATATATTTATAAATACTTTCTAGTATTTATTTCTCATGCATGAATGATGATTTTATATCCAACAGTAATTAGTTGAAATAGTTCTACGAGTATTTACCAAATCAAAACATTTTTATAGAATATTATACGTATGTCATTTAGTAAAAATTATAATTTATTCTGCACATTACTGATTCTGGACCATTAGAAATTTAGGAGCCTTGATAGATGGAATCTTAGCATAGAGTAATTTTCAAATGCTATTAGAATTTATTAATCTGAAAATTAAATAAAATTTATAGCTAACAATCACGTTTAAGCAATGTATACGATATTTTTCGGCGGAAATATTTGAATCTGGACGTTGTTTTGTTCATCGAGAAATGAAACAAAATTTATAGCTACCAATCACGTTAAGGAATGCATACGAAATTTGTCGGTGGAAATTAAAGTTGATATTGACATTTGATCATGCTCTGTATAACCAAATTAAATTAAGAACATATTGTGTTGCAATTACAAAGCTTGTAAACTGATAGAATCATATTTTAATTTTATTTCGAATGTGAATAACTTATTACCCTTCAATTAAGAATTGAAATTAAGAGCAGTAATAACTCTAATTTTTTTTTAACGTCGCATTGAAAACACAATATATTAAATATGTACCGCATCTTGTCTTTTAATTGTAGATCCTGCTGTAAAGTCTTTATTTGACTATCTCAGTGTTTGAAATAAGGCTAAGGTTGATAGAGACTAACTCATCTTCGTATCAGGATAAACAGAGATGAAGACTACGGCAAATACTAACGCTGATTTTGATAACAATCTATCTGTGCTAGACATTTAACGGCTAGAGATAAGAAATTTAGATAGTTTTAAATCTCTAATACTGGATTGGAAAAAAGCAGAATGCTTGACGTAGCCAAATAAATTCCTATTAAACAACTCGTAGAATCTCATAAGATTGCTGTTTAAAATTTTGCATCATTTGCAATATTTTATTGGAATGTTTCTGGTCTTTAGGATAGCCTCAAAAGACTATATAATACTTCAAATTGACCGCTAAATACGTATTCAATATTTTAAAACAGCCAAGGTTGATTTAACAGCTGATAAAAGATCATAAAAAGAAGAAGTAACTTTCGTTTTCAAGTTATTTCACATAGAATCATGTTCGAGAAATATTAAAGGTCAAGTTCAAGTTGATTAGCTCAATTACAGAATCAATGATATAAGTTTAGAGTGCATGCTAATGATACTAATATATCATTTATAGGATTGAATACGTGTAAAAATTATATACTCTAATTAATATTTAAGCGTTTAAATAGTATCTATCATGTTGATAAAGGCAATAAATATTTAAATTGTAATATAAATGGGGTATTACCTACTACAAATAGAATGCATAGATAGATCAAGTAAATAAAGAAATATATTACTACAGCAAGAACAAGGACAATCTTTTTAGCGTTTTAATTCTATCCAATTTTTAAAAACGGCATACATTTACAAAATTAGTGACTTATATCCATCATGTGGATAAGCTCGTAGATTAAGAATGGCTATTTTGTAGTGTTAAATAAGCAACTGCTAACAGATCTAGTAGAAAAAGAAGTCCTTTCCTGGACTAGTAACAAGGATAATCCTCTTAGCTTTTAATTCGATCAAATTTCGATAGTGGGCATAAGTTTTACTAATCTTTGGATTACAATCGGTATGATAGAATTAGATACAGATAGGATTTATGGATATATCTTTATATTGTACTACTGTCATAGCAAATGTGAACATTATCTTTGTATCCTATTTCTACTGTCGGAAAACAGTAAGCTAATATCGCAAGATCTAAGTATGAGACACCATTCACAGTTATGTTCATGTCCTGCTCGTTGAAATAACCAATATACGCATACACGTATCGTTTACGTTATATTACCATAATCTTGTAAAAGCCTTTCTCCATTAAAATAGGGAATCGTAATGAGGAACTTAAAAAGGAGATTCGTCCGTCGTCTGGAACCCTTTTCAATTAATTATAATTGTTGTAGAATCTTTCAATTCTTTCTTTTACTCTCTACGATTCTTTTTGTCGATGATACTATCAACCGATCCACTAGCACTGTTTGCTCGATTATAATTACCAGTAGATCTATCGATTGAGTTTGGTAATGTACCTATGCTTTTCATGACATCTTGACTATTAACTTTATTAACCTTCTGCAATTTTGGTATGAAAATAATACATAACATAGTGGTAATACATAACCAGATAAGTATTGCATCTGCAGCAAAATAGCCAGTAGGAGTCATAGTGTGTAGAGCAAATCGCAGAGGCCCAGTAACGATTGCAATTAGGATAAAATTATACACGACGATAGTAATTAATTTGGAATCGTTTAATTCCTTAATGCTAACATTACGTGTACCATAAGCCACAACAGCACCAAATAGAAGGAAGACAGCCTTCTCTGTTCCTAATATTAGCATCCAATAAATCATATACGGTGATGTACACGTAGTCATGCGTTTATCGATTCTAGTATCAGGATCATCCGGAGAAATCTTAAAGAGTAGAAAAATAATCACTATCAATATGAGGCTATATAATTTAATCTAACAATATGATTGATTCATAAAGAAGAGAAACTAAAGGTGCTTCAGTTAAGTCTCTAATCTGTTAATCTACATATATACTTACCCTGGAATCAATCACTTGCACTTCAGAACGCAACGGATCTATCCCAGACCATAAACTAAGAATGATAATATCGATGAAGACCAAAAGCCCAACAAGCTGGAATAAACTTTTATCTAATAATTTCTAGATTAATAATTAAAAATAGCGATTAGTGACATTAATTTTACCAGCTCGTTTTAGAAATTAATCCTTGAATATCCGTTAATTGATAAATATAAATTTCTTAGTTTCTATCCATTCGTTTTACTATTCTAGAACTTAATTAACTAATCTTATGCTATTGAAATGATTATGAAATTAAACTGAATTTTAAAAGTTTTAACTTATAAGCACCAATGCAGCTTCAAAGAACTATATAGAATATTGAAATACTATCCTATCTCCATCATATTCTATCACTTCTGTCATCGACTATTTCTTTATAAGATATATCCAATTTATAATAGCTTGTAAGTAGGGCTTCATAATCATGTAAAACTTACCCGACGACGTGGCTTTCCTTGTACGCTAGCATAAATAATATAAATCCGGAAAGTTTTACTGAAGATAGCTCCAAATGCTAGCGTAAAGCCAACGGGTAAGAACCATTTCCATAACTAGAAATAAAAAATTATGTATAAAAATGAATACAAGATCGGACTAACCGACAATGACTTTTTATCTATTGAGATAGCACTTTGATGATTAATTAGATTAATTAATCTGTCTAAAATAATAACATTACTGCTTACTTCGCACATGACTGGAACATACTGTGGCATAGAATATTTAATGCCTTGATAGATTGCATAAAATATTATTGACAAGTACATTAGCGTGGCTCCGATGCAAATGAAAACATTCAATTTAGCCGATGACATTTTCATGATTGGCGTGTTGCGATATTTATGATTGGCATAAAAGAAAACCACGCTGATACCAATACCAATAGCAGATAGTGCTACCATAACCATACAGAGTGAAAAATCAACTACGAGTAAATTTACAATAGTTGCATTTTTGGAGCCATCGCTAGGAATACGGCCATCTGTCATGTGGAAAAAGTATCCCTTTAGTTCTGTATGGCTATACTATCAAGCAATGTGCTTAAATTAAGATTAGCAGCTTAGATATTGACTTTTAAGCTTACATTATTTATTAATGCTAATTTTATATGCCATAATGATGTAATATAAGATTTACTAATTGGAATACTTCCTTAATAGTAGTATTATGATTAAATAGTGACAGAACTACTGCAAAAGTAAATCAATATCGCCTACCTCTCCAAAAAAATCGACCTCTCATCTCTAAAACTTCTTTTATGCCATCGTATATTCCAACAAAATTTCTAGTCCCATCTAAGTAACAATTAGCATACTGTTATTCATTTACAATAGTAACTTTTTAAAATTTCGAATTCATAGAGATATGAGCTTCTTCATGGCTAGATACTTACTGACACGTTGAAGAACGGTTAAGGTACCGGATCTGTCACCGTATTTATCAAATTTTACAGCTCCCTAAGACAGGGTAGATTTAATAAATCATGAACTTGAGCGGTTATTTATTATATATAATCATGATTTTCGTCGATACATTTTCATAGACTTACCGAAACTCCCTCAAAATTCAGAGCAAACATTTCTCTTAATAAAATATCTTTCATTTCAGTATCATTATAGTTGAAATCTTCCAGTAGGCGATTCTTATATTTTGTCGGGTTACTTTTTAGTATATTTAGAGTCTTATTTAATGCTAATGCTACAGCCCAAGCTGTGTCGTAGCCAAAAGGATGGTAACTGCTTAAGTAGTAAAGGGAGGTTGGAGGATATTTCTTTAGTTTTTTCTCGTATTCTGATCCAGTCTAGATTTATAAAATAGATTAATATGAAGTCAAAATTATTCCTTATGTAGACAAATCGATGGAATCAAACCGATTGTACAAGATAAAGATGAAAATTATTTCAATAGTCAAGTAGTCAGTCAGCTTAGATCGCAGCTTTGACTTTAATTATGCTTAAACTTGATATAATGATACTTACCATGCCAGCAATTGATTTCTTCGCATCTTGTCTTAAATTAAGAGTATCAGTTAGGATAACGTAATTGATAGCTTTTCTTAATTCCTCAGGTTTGCAATGTGTATCTGTACTATTCCACCAATTTAAAGTATAAAACCCAGGTATTAACCATACTCGTTGAACTGTGGTATTTAAAAGACCTAATTTATACGCCTAAATGAAAATAAACAAGATTATTATTAAGAATTTTGAATTATTGGCATAATATTCAATTCAAGATATTGTATTTATTGCGATATTTTGACTAGTAAATTTAGTATCCATGGTTTGAAAACGATAACATTAGGAATAATTGCATCTCTACGATTAAAACTATTTTAAATCTGTTATATGGCGGGAAAATATTGATAAATAAGTAGGGAAAGTAAAGAAAGCTTATGGTCATGTGAACATTATCGCAAAGGAACACAATCGATTACCCTTACTATGTAATGTAAATGGTAACTAGCTACAGATGTGATTGGAAAATGAACATCTAGTTAGTACCGAACACTAGCAATCAGTTAGTATCGATCAGGATTACTATATGTCGTAAGCTAATCAATTTATCAACTCTGATGGTAAATAAGTGCAATATCGAAAACTATCAAAGAGAAATAAAATAATGATTGTCAGCGCTTTATGTCGCCCAGATTGATGATTAAGCGTTGGTCGACCAGCACATTTAGAATGAAGGATTCTTCCTAAGCGACTGAGGAAGATCATAATAAATAACGAAGGTTGTTGTCGTAAGTATGCTATCAATGCCATTTAAATGCTACTTACGGTATACTGATTTCTACCATGTAAGCAATATTTAGACATCAAAGTATAGGAAGATGGACATTATTATTCAGAGTATGCAATGTTAAAGTAATGATCACAATGGTGCAAAATACTAACATTGAGAATTCTTCCCGTTATTAAAGCTAGCACAAGAAATAAAAGCATGAATAAGCTCATAAACAAAGCCTGAGGGAACGATTCCTACTTGATAAATCCTATGAGATTTTCGTCTCATAAAAATTGAATAAGTGTATGGTGTACACGGAAGCTACTAAATAATCGCTCAACCATGAAAGTAGTCAACACAATTGCAAAAAGTTTGATAATGTTATGTTGAAAGAATAGAAAATATTACTCGACTAGATGAATAATAATAGCAAAATGACTATCTCGCCTCTAGAATATAATATAGCGCCAAGACTATTATACATCATAGCAATACAAATTTAGCGAATAAAATGGCAGGAATTTGATTATTGACGAAAAAATAGTTATATTATCTTTTTATATTATATCTAAGCAATAAAAATCGGCCTTAATGTATAGATAAAAAGTCATTATTGATACTTTAGAGAATACGGACATATCAATGGTAGATTGGCTGTACTCGTACACTGGAATTACATTATAACGTGGGAATAAATTAGTGTATCATATTAATATTCATTCTTTTTCATGCATTTATTAATTGATGGATTGGTCGATGAGATAAAAATTAATTGTATTGTTTTAGATTTGTATATAGTCGGTAGAATCATAACAATATTTATTGGGGAGCGGTGCATGTACTTCCGCATCGAATAAAAACATATCTCTATTTAAATAGTGGAAATTTGAATTGCTATTAAAAACACGAACTACTATCTGCAGATATAATACAATATTTGAAAAATGATTTATCCTCTATAGTATAGATTAGAATTAGCTTCGATTCGTAGTGTGATATAACTAGAAATAAGAATTCCAAATATTAATAGAGTGCAGGAATAGATAAAGTATTGTAGTCAAGGACAATAACACTACATCTAAATAGAAAATAAATTGTGAACATTTGATTTCATTCAGGGTATAAATGAAATAAAATCAGTTCAGCTATTATTCTTACCCAACAGAAAACCAGTCTGGCTTTGGATGAATACATATTAACCACAATTATTCTAGCATCTTTTCTCTGAAGAAAATATAATTCAAACAATTTTTAGTGCTTTTGACCTATCTTTCTAGACTATTTCATACGAAATTTTAACTACTATCACTTGATGTTTATATTGCACACTGATAAATAAAGTCTTTTAATAACATTTATTTTCTAATATCTAGCAATCCCTAGTTTTTTATTACGTTAGTGTGACTGTAATGTGCTATTTACTAGTAAATTTTCAACTTGATCCCTTGGAGAATCTCGAAAACTCTCTAGCGCAACGATAGAATGAGTTAAATTTCTGTCCTTCAGACGATTTAATAAATCAGTTGTCATCTATTTCGATAAAAAAGAAAACTGTAAGGCTTAACTGTGAGACGAAATAAAATCGTTAATTAGATGGAATAGACTATCATATTATTCTGCTATTTAACTGTATTATATTTGATGAACATCATACATCAATATCTTGATCAATATACTCAAGTTTAAATATTTGATAAGATTTTAATATTACTAGAGTAATTTGTACTTGAGATTAAAAGATTCTTAAGACTTTAACAGCTACATTTATGACTACCGCGTTAAATATGTGAAAGCTTGCTCGAAATATCATACCAATGAGAAATAGTTAGAATTTTCAAGCTGATGTATTGTAGCTATACGGGTCCAGTTAAATCGCTGCATGACTGCAATCCTAGGCCCATTATACGATGAATCAGGTAGAGCCATACGAAAAAAAGTTTTGTAACGGTTTTTATCACTTAAGATTGGAGATGCAGCAATATACGTTATCTAGAATGAAATTAGCATCGCATAGATTTAAGTATCCTAATCGAAGTTAATCATTATAACTTTAGTAGATGGAAATACCCATCTATCACGATTTAAGGACTTACCATTAGTAAATTATAATAAGGACAAGTTTCTGCAATTGGCGCTGTCGACATAGAACATCCATCTCCAACCAACATAATCTTAGTTGGTTTGCGAGCTATATCTTTCATGAATAGAGAAGTAGAATAACCGGCCAGGCACTGCAAACAAAAATTAAACAACTCTAAATTAATTTTATAGTTCAATAATTAGGCTATCGGCAACAATTATTTTCAGCGATTGCCAAGACTTTTCTTCATCTATCAACGTTTAATCTGAATAGAGTCAATTTTAATTTACTAGTAAGTACAGTCAGTTTCATTTCCATGGTATAATCAATTATAAATCATGTCAATTAAGTTTGTTTATTTGTTTTGGTAACGTGAAATTATTTACTCGTAATTTCTGTTTCAGTTTAGAAATTATTAGAACTGATAATTATATACCAGACTCAACCAGTAATTAACGCTCTAATCGATTTCAAGATTATCAAACCCATTAACTAAATTTGGGACTAAACTTTTGCTGCATGATTGCAAATTGGTATAAATGATTTATTGGTCACTTCAGGAACTGAAAACTTGTCAGTTTTGACCTACACGTATTTTTATTGTTAGATTTAATATCCAGCATCTGTGTATAACTAGAAAATAAATAAGGCGGGGCATTGCTGATAAGTAGGATTACAATTCTGTAATTAAAGCTACTGACATTTATATGGTCCATCTTGCTTTAAAATTGTTCCAACTAGTTTTTTCCCAGATCAAATCCAGGATCAGTATGTAAACATTAACCTTCATATTATCAAATCATTTACTGCTATTTAAAATTTTATAATGTAGTTGTCAGTATAGGAATTTATTCTAATCAATTACAGGATAAATTGAGCGAAAACTATTATGATATTTTTCTAGTTTCACTATATTAAATATATGCCGTAAATGCATTTACTAAAATTATGCATTTTCTGTGAAATGTTATTACCATTTTCAATATCCAATCAATTAAGTAAGAAGAAAGTGGTCAATAACTATTATAGCTCAGGACTTACATGAGTATCACTCCAATCTACTTGTAATCGATAATCTTGTAGTATTTTACTGCTGTTGTTAATATCTTCAAATCCCATTTTAACAGCAGACAACATTCCTTTAGCACTATAACCACCGGATGCTGAAGTATCGATTGGAATATAGCCAGAAATATAGAGAGTCTTATGCTTGAAACCTTGAACACTAGGTAAAGCTATCGCAGCAATGTACAAACCAATTAAAGCAATGATTTGCTGCATCTTTCTGATCATCTTAATGTCAGTTTACTAGTTTTAAATGCAATTTAAACAAATCAGAATAACGACGATAGAGATACGAAAAGATGTGGAATTCAAGTCTGAAGTATCGCTGAATGGTAGCGATAACGAATGTCAGGCAAGTTGTAAATTTCTAGGATAGACGGTTGTAATATATATCATCTTTATTAACAATAGCATGAGTCTTTAAACGATTGGACAACGAGAATAGAAAGTTTTATTGTAAGCAGTATTTTTTTATAATTTGATTAAAATACTTGACAAATAACTACAAGCAATTACAGGGTAAGTAACAATGCTTGCACTTGATTATTTGAATTTCTGTGAAACCATGAATCGCCAGATTGTATTCAATTCTTTGATGGTAATTGGTACAGCAGAGCGTAGATTACCATCTGCTTAAAGTCTCACGTAACTTGTAACTGTAAAAATCAATAATATTGCACTCTTCTTAATATGTTGACGTCAGATATTGTTTCACTTTTATTTTCTATTATAATTTCTTCTTTAATTATTGATATTTACCTATAAAGAAAGCTATTTTTGCTATATAATTTATTGTTATGTTCAATCTTATCTACTATAGCGTAGGAGTATACAAGAAAAATGACCTAATCTAGATAAATATGCGGTTAGCATATATATATTTATGAAGGAATCACTAGAATACGTATACCGAAAATAGAAAATAATAACCATAGTATTAACTGTAAAGTAAAACTGACAATAGAACTCTTTCTCCTTCAGTAGCTACCATAAGGAATGGATATTCATTTCTTATATTTTGGTGTTTTCCATGCTATTATAGTATCCATATATTATATTAAGTAATCAGTGATGTTTCGAAAGATCTATAGTTAAGAAATAGTAAGAAGTTGTATACCTGCCCAAGTATTGTCAATCATTAGTCTGTTCAAGACAATAATTCAACATAATTACTCTAGTTATCCTTTCTACTTGTTTAGCATCGTCTACTTTCCAGTAACTCTACTTATTTCCAATTTCGTGAATTGACTTACCTGCGCGATCTTACTAATTAAATACTATAATCGCAATTATTCTTCAGAATTAAATCGAAAATGAAAACATTAAACATTAAAGAATTAGGTAACTGAACTATCCGATTCCCATCAAATATCAATTCTTTGTCGCAGATATATATTTTTAGAAGTAATCTTAGATTTACTTGCTTACAAATCAATTCCACTAGAAAATAGCATTTTTAACTATGTTTGCTAGCAATCTTCAAATTATCTGAGTAATCGAAATAGTCATCATAGAATAAAAGGTACCTAGATAGATACAAGAAATGGCCAGATAGATAAGTTAGTTACTACCGGTATCTTAATTTTGAACAGATTACTCCACGCCTTGCTACTTCAATATACATCATTCGCTTGTCAAATTGTTTACTAAGAGACTGCAAAAAACAATCGCTACTGAATTAATAATGTTATGCTAGAGTTAATTCCATGTTTTATGTTGTATCATAGTTTTTCACCCTGTAATGAAATTGTAAAAGCAACATTAGACCAGCTATGATAGATGAAACTATTCATTTATATGCCATTAACGCAATTGACTGATCGAATTCATACCGAGCTAAAGTTTTTTTACCCCCTGTTATTATATAATTAAGATTAGCATTTATCTATAGCTCCATTTGACTATATGATGATGAGTAATCCTACTTCTTTATAATCTAAACGAATGATATGGCATGTTCATTTGAATAAACAGAAGTAGAAAAGAAAACATGTTTTCAAATTTGATTTTAGGTTTATACAGCAAATTAATAATGTGAAATGTCAAAACATGGACTACTACAGAAAATTTACCTACAAATTTAGTAATCTATGATCTGAATTAAAATATTAATGATTAGATAATTGATTGACGAGATGTATTGGTTAGACATGTTATGCCATTTAATATTCATAAGGTTATTAGGATCCAAAATTGATCGTTATAATTTATTTATCGATGAGCTAGTTTTGTCAATTACAGTAGCAAGATGAAGTACAGCAGTAATGAAATTATCTAACTGATTTTATCAGTCGCCATCTAATTAAATAAACAGCTTTTAGGATTGTGTAGGTACTTGATTATTATCCTTAGACACTACTGCCATGCAAAATGCTGAGAAAATTGGAAGCATTGTGAACACAATTAAAATACACAATCTGAAGATTTGCTTTTTTTCTTTATTATAAGACTAAGTGTATTCCACTTTTAATAAATAGAAATTCAATATTTATTTTCAATCTTATTTACATAGACAGTATACCATCAATGGTAGATCATAGAATCGAGTGTAACAATGTTATGGACAATGTGCTTTCTTGAATATACGTACTATCTAGTAGAAGTTAAATAAAGTCTTTTTCAAATTATGTAGACAGATAATTCTAGATAGCGGTTATGAATAGCAAATAAGATTGCTTTTTCAATTATGTATTGTATCAGTTATAGCATTGTAAGTCTGTTATTCGTTTTAGTAGTAACGATAATTAAAATTTTATTTAGACCGTTACTGTGTTCCGGAGTCTATTCTAAACAATTTTTCGAATTTAGAGTGTACTTTCTCTGTCATACTAACTTTTATGTAGTCTATAGATGATTATATTGAGCCAATGCAATGATTTAATTTTCAGATTTAATATTAATTAGAGTATTTCTTCTTTCTAAGTTACCTAAAGAATGACTGGATCTTGGCATAATAACATTTTTAACTGTTCTGATTGTAATGAATGTTCAATAAAGGAACTCTACACGGTATTATATTCTACGCAAATAGATATTCTCTATCAAGCCTGATATAGGTATTTACACAATTAAGAATCTTATTATTAAATCGATAACAGACTCTAGCATTTCGGCCTCATAAACTTTATGATTTTCAGCAATTGTGAGTGATATGCAGTATAGAATCCTAATAATGGTAATTACTAGCGCATGAACAAACAGGCTCATCAACCATATTTGTTTATCGAATCTTTTCGGCTATAATTACAGCAGTCCTCAATCACATCAGAAATTATCAATTTATAATAAAATAACGGATGTGAATTAAAAGAGTTGGACATGTTATCATTCCAGTTGTTGTAATAACTTTAATTATAGGACTTCAAATTTGTCAGCATGATAAAAATTTGAAATCGTCTAAGTTTGTCTTCAAACTATAATAATTAAAATAATAAAAGAACGCAAATTTTATAAATATATATGCGTACTGTATGAGTTGATAGTGCATTAAATATAACCGCTACAATAGCGTCAGTAATGATCAATTTAGAATAGATAAGGAAGTACTATTTGCAAAAGTTACGTTTTAAATTTCGTTTAATTGTAGTTAGAAATGTTGTTATGGAATGTAAAGTTAAAATTTCTTATTCTTAGCATTAACACGACAAATTCCGAAATGGTTTAAACTTACGCTAAAATAATATTAATATCATTGAAATTGATATGACAATATATAATATAGATGTATACGCCTACTCATCGATGACACATATGTAAAATAATGAATAATCCTAGAATACGATCAAGCATGGTATTATATGTTGATTAGCTAGTTTAATATCTACAATAATTGGTTAGAAATAATAATGAATTCAATTTGTAGAACTGTAATGAAATTTCATAAAAAAGAACAGATAAAGGATAATAAATATAATTCCATTACGAGAAGATAGTTTGACGCCATTAAGAACAACAATAGTGACAAGAAATAGAATCAGAATGGTCATGTAATGTTCATAGAGTTGAAAGAATGCTTTAAAATTTTAACTATTAATAAAATTGGCACAATAGCCTGAAAACAATTCGGTCTTCTTAAAATAACTTATAAATAATTTTAGATAATGTTTATTCTATCTCACATTATTGACATAAGTTTAAGTTCATGATGCTGATTACCTTAAAGTTTTGTTATCTGCTAAATATAACAATTTCGCTTTATTCATATTTGAATTTTACTTATACTTCTATTCTCATAAATGGTTCACAATAAAAACTTGATATTTTAACTGAACAGTAAAGACATTGTTACTTTTGAATATTGTTGACAGCTACTAATATAACGATACTAAATATACATTTCACACTTAATCTTACAGTAAGAGTAGCAATTTCTGCCTACCGATCGCATGTATAGTTAGTTAGTTTACAAAATGCCTATGACCATTCCTACAGAAATGCAAGTGTATAAGGACTTTTTATAGATTTGCTTAAACTAAGATAGTAGAAATTTCTAAAGATACAATACGCATGTATTAAGATACCTACATTGATTCTAGTACTTCATCTATTATAAATCATTTTGTTGATGTGATTCTTTGAGTCTTTCTCCTTCTTTCATAGCTAAGACTGCATGTCTTTAACGTCATCTTTTTCGCTCCTTATTATGTATAACAACAAGCAATTAAGTTTTATCAAAGTTATTCATTTACCATGTATAATATTGAAAATTTTCCGATCTATTAGTAATTGTTTTATCGTTTACCTTCTCACCAAAACAAAAATAAATGTATATCAATAAAAATCAATTCAACGCCTTCAATCTCAATTACTTTAAGGCGTCTTACTATACTCACGATTTTTTTCGCAGAAAATGAATCTTTTTAATTTATCTATTTAGTACTATAATTAATAGCGTTACGGTATTATGTGGTTATCATTACCACGAAATTATTTACATAGTTATTGTTAGAAATTCCGTCCAAAATTATTACACGGTTTATTTACTTAAATTTCAATTCTAATTGGAGTCTATCGGTAAAAGTTTTACTTATAATGACCAGTGATTGCATCACCTGTCACTATTGGACGCGTATTTTAGTCTGCTTTTATTCCAGTAGAGATTCTATACCCTTTACTATTTAAATTATAATAAATTTTGTTGAATGTGCGCTTCTCACATATTTGCCGATATTCTATATTCCAAAAAATAGAGTACAATAATTTAGAAAGAATTCTATTCATTATCTGAGATATAGGCACATTTAGGAATTTAAAGTGTTGTCTGGCTTGAAATTTATTTTAATGTGGTAATATTAATAAGTACAAAGATACATAATAATTTTCTGATGAACATGTAGATCACCTAAATGCTATGGAAGCAACAAATTTCATTCTATCTAACGCAATTGTACACTCTTTTTATCCTAACTTTAATCATCTAGGTGATGTATCATATTTAGAAATTTTGATGCGACAATTAGTAGTTGATTTGAGTCAAATATTTCTTGAAATTGTTGATTTATTTAAGAATCGAATGCAATAAAAACAGTCTAAGAATGTTATAGTGGCTTTTATTGAATGATAATTATAATTTACTAACTCCAGCCCTTACCAATTATACAGTCAATCATCATAAAGTGTGTAAAGTAGCGGAAATTAAGTACTACATCCTATGATGATAACTGCTTATGGAAATAAATCAATAAATGCTTTTAGAGTAATAGAGATTTTAACAAGTACAAATGATAGAGAATTATTTTTGATCTATAGAACTATAGCACATATTGAATTACAATAAGCATAAAGTATATATGATACGTAATTAATCTAAATTTTAACTTTCCTTTGCCTACGAAATAAAAATTCAATAGCTAGAGTTTCAATCGAGAATCATGAAAGTTAATGCTATCTATTCTCAAAATTTGTGTACAGGAGATTTTTCCGTAAATTATAGAAATAAAATTTTAATTAAGAATTCGGAGAAGATTTGATGATTCAGGTTATACCCTTATCGGCTTAATTGCAGCATGAAATAAAGCATATTGATGGTATATGTGTATATGTAGATATATAGATAGGTAGATGGATACATAGATGAGTAGATGAGACTGATAAGTAGATGCATAGATGGGCAGCTAAATAATTAGATTGACATAGATAAATGGATAGATAAGTGAATAGGTAAAGTGGATAGATAGATCGATGTCGATTAACAAGTAGATAATTTATATTGTAGATAAAAGAAAACTGTCTGACTAGAACGATTTAAAATGGAATTAATAAAAGGGATATTTCAGCCAGATTACTTTATTCTATAAAATGAATAAGCAGGTTGTCTATAAGATAGTTCATCGATAAATTATTTACTATACAATACTGTATATCTGACTTTAATAGTTAATCTTATCTAATTGGATATGTTACGGTCAATCCCGGGGATACATCTGTAACACCCAGAATAAGCAGGCTGTCTATAAGATAGTTCATCAATAAATTATTTACTATATAATACTGTATATTTGACTTTAATACTTAATCTTATCTAATTGGATACATCAGCAACAGCCAGATGAATGACAGGAGCTTCTTTCGGTTTTGGATTAATAGCATTTCCATGACTATTTCCATGGCTGTAATCGACCTCTTTAGATTGACTTTTATTAGTCCCATTAGTTAAGTCGATAGTCGTATCCTTAACCTTCTGCATTCTACAGAATTTCGGTAAAAAGATAATAGACATCATTACAGTTATTGATATCCAAATAATAGACCCATCGATAATAAAATAGGGAGTAGGTATAATTGAATCCAAGGCAAATCTTAAAGGTCCAGTTATCACCACAACTACAGCAAAATTATACACAATCGTAATCGTTAAACGAGCATCGTTTAAGTCCTTGTAGGGAACATTGCGTGTACCATAGGCTACTATCATGCCGAACAAGAGCAAAATAGTTTCTTTAGTACCCAGTACTAGCATCCAATATGCCAAGTATGATGAAGAACAGTAATATATTTGTTTGACATGGGTTACGTCAGGATTATCAACTGAAGGCTAAATAACCACAGAAGATAGAGAAAATAAAACGCACTTATTATTGAGTAAAAGCCAAAGATTCTAATTTTTAAGAAGTAAGTTATTATCCATCAACTCTGGATTTCACACAATTTATATCTATGAAAATAGATCTCTTTCACTTGTTACACTACTTGCTAGTATTCAAATCTTCTAATTAGGTTGGAACTGCCAAATTTTAGGTAAATCACTATACTCAGCCTGACTATAATAATACTTAATATTGTATTGGCATAATTAAATCTCTTTTATACCTTGCTTTCAACGACCGTTGTTATCATTCTTAGTGGATCTATGATTGACCATAGGGATAAAATAATGGCATCGATCAGCAAGAAAATACCAATCAATTTCATTAAAGATCTATCGGAGATTTTCTGCAATTAAAAATTTTTAGAATTATAAGAGATTTGGGATTCAATTTGAATTCTTTAGTCTTTAGATTCCAATAGATCAAAGGTTAATCTATCCTTTGTCATCATGTTCACTTCGAAAAAGCAATCGAAATATTTCATCAACTAAATTGATGGACTTAAAACTAACCCGTCGGCGAGGTTTGCCTTGTACACTTGCATAAATTACATATATACGAAAAGCTTTGCTGAATATGGCACCCATCGACAAAGTAAAGCCAATTGGTAAAAACCACTTCCATATCTAATAGAAATTATAACAGAATGAGCGGGTAGCATTAATGTTGGCGTAGCGAATTTAACCATTTCATCAAGAATTATCGATTGAGAACGTTTTCATCTCTCCTTTATAGGTAAGTTAACTACTCGTATTTTATATCTACCTCACATAACACTACTGGGATAATTGGATCTGTTACTTGATACTTGACCGCCTGGTATAAGCTATAACTTATATTCGCTAGATACATAAAAATGGCTCCAACACAGATAAAAATGTTAACTGTTGGCGAAGACACTTTAATGCTGCGGATATTTCGATATTTATTATTGATGCCCAAAATTGTTAAACTGAAAGGAACACCAAGAAGAGACAAAGTAGCAATAATAAGGGCTGCAGTAAAGTTTACTTCTAGGGGTATGATAATGTTAATAATTTGTGAGCCATCAGTAGGTACTTTTCTCCCTAAAGTATACGTAATCAATCATCAAATTGTTGCTTCAGTCAATTTCAGAAGAAAGTTTCATTTTTGACTCATGTTTAGCTTGATAGCAGTTATCATTTGTTAATATCTATCTTTATTAAATTAGTATTTTTTCTAACGAAAACGATTCTAATAAATGCCGCAGTAACAATTTAGCCTTAGCTAATATTTAAAAAATTTTGTAACTAAAATTGATAATCAATACGTACTGTTCCAGTGGAAATTCGCCGAACCTCCGGTGTAGTTCAACTTATCTTTGATGCCATCGTAAATTCCGACAAAATTTCTAGTATTATCTAGTCAGTATTAATAGGACTTAATTGAGCTCCTAATTACTAATAATGTCGGTTTATCATTATTAGGAGTATTTTCAAAATTTTAATTTCGTATTATCATATAAAACTAGCCGAACTACAGATAAGGCCGTGATCGATACTTACCAACTCTCTGGAGGACGGTTAGTGTACCCGTTCTATCCCCTGTTGCAGTAAATTTAACTGTTCCCTATTATGAAATTGAATAATTGAATTTGTTTGTATTAGAACACTCTATTCCATTATCCAGTTACATCTTGATTACAAACATCACTAAGCGATCCGAGTTGTAATATAATTTATGGTTATTTTACCGTAAGTGGATATACAGATCATATTTTTAATTTAAGACTAAATGGTAAACACGATATAATATAAAAGATTTGTGCTTCGATCGATTGGCTCAAGAATCATTACTAACCGTAATACCCTCAAAATAGAGCGCGAACATTTCTTTTTTTATTAATTCCGACATTTTGGAGTTATTGTAGGTAAAATCTTCTAATAATTTGTTATCGTATTTGGCCGGGTTAGCCTGTAATTCATTAAGGGTTGCATTCAATGATAATGCAACCGCCCAAGCTGTATCATAACCGTAAGGATGATAGGAGTTCGATTTGTACTTATTAATAGTCGGCCAACGATGAAGATTTTCCATATACTGTGTAGTGGTCTATAAGTAAAAACAATAAAGACCATCATTAAAAGAAGACTGAAAGACCAAATCGTAAATAAATCTTAGTCGTTATATTCTATGCAATAAAAATGAACGAGCTCTTCTTTGCTTTGCATTCGTTCATGCTAAGTACCGGTGCTAGTTCTATCTTTCGAGGTATATAAATATCAGTTAATCAACATATTGAAGGAGCAGTTTTCTTTTAACTTGTTAGTTTAGTCATAAATCAGGTATACATTCACTTTCGATTCGAATAAATTATACTTTGCGAAGGTTAATTCTAGCAGCTAATGTAAATTAGCAGGATATACAACGATTAGAGTCTTCCTGAAAAATTGACACACTATTCAACTCACCACTCCGCTAATTGCTCTTTTGCCATCAGTTCTTAAATTGATAGTATCAGTAAGGATAACATGATTAATCGCGCTTTTTAACTCTGCAGGTGTGCAGTGAGTATCATTGTAATTCCACCAATTCATCGAATAAAATCCTGGAATAAACCATACTCGTTCTACAGTTTCATTAAGAAATCCTAATTTGTGTGCCTAGATGAATTTCAATTAATGCTTTATTGATTCACTCATTCAAATATACAATTGATGAGGATAGTCGTAAAACTTGTTTAGGCAACAGTTATTTTAGTCACTGTGACAGCAGCATTGACTTCAAGACATCTAATTATATAGAACATATATTTAAAACAATACTATACTTAATGTAATACATCTGGAGTGGTTGTAGTTATTTGGAATATTCACTGCATTCCGTCATACTTTACGATCGTGAAATGCAAAAGGTAGAATAAGGTAATGTTGTAACAGTGATAATTTGAACAGCTAAAATAATACAACTGTAGTGTATTCAGTCCCACGACTATAAAAAGCAAAAAATTACAGGTAAAATCTGACGATCGTCAACAGCCATAGCTAGTGTTGATATTTTTCATTTTATAGACCTTTATCATGGTAGTGTGGTAATATTCATTACATAATTAATCTTGGTTTATGGTACTATCATGCTGCTAATACATCGATTTATGTTGCTACATACTACAATAATCCAAGAAATAGATTCAGTATATAGTAAAACAGATCTAATCGATGGTAATGAAGATGTGGAATGTTAGCATTGTCGATAACCTCAATAATAGTATATCATGGCACTTACCCAACAAAATACAAGTCTTGCCTTGGATGAATACATGTTAACCACAATAATCCTGGCATCTTTTCTCTGCAAAGGAAGTCTTTGTGTTAATTTAATATCATCAAGGGTTTAATACCGATGATAAATTGAAGGTGTGAATGTAAAATTATCGCGATTGATATTGTTTGCAATTCTATCAGGTCAAGATATGAACTTTGTTGATATTTTGCTCTAGTAATCAAAGTGATCGTTTCTAATTTCAAGAATTCAATAAACAAAAGTTTTATTTTAAATACTATTATATTGCGAATATTCAGTAATATAAAGCACGAGAAGAAACATCAGTACTACATTTTCTTTTCATCTATCTTCAGGTAGCTTTTTGTTTAGAAAACTCTTGACGAACGTGATCACGCATAATGGATAAAGTTAGGTAAACAGTATAAAATTTTAATTTTATACAAGACCTTCAAATTTTCAACTTGTAATTTTGGATCATCTTGAAAACTTTCTATGGCTACGATACTATGATTGATCATTTTCTGTTTTAAGCGGATCAGTAAATCCTGCGTCATCTATTAAGAGAGAAATCGACGTCATCAAGTATGGAACATGATGTTTTGCATTAAAAAATAAAAGCTTACAAAAGTGTTTTCAAAGTCTAAAATAATATCTATCTATTTTGTATTTGATATATGGATGACCTTAACAATCATATGCGCATTCCCGAAAATATGTATGGATTTAAAAAATGGATACTCCCAATTCAATACCGTAGTAAAAGGACTATCAGTTATGATTTATAACTGAGGATCGATAAATTACCAAAGATGAAAAAAGAACTAACTTATGATAAATTTTGATTAGATAGAATAGGTAGTTTGTAATAGTATATTAGTTAAAGAAATAATCATACTCTAATTAAGCAAGCAAATAAGGTAACCTATATTAACTACAATTGATTGTCAGTATATAAATTAACGCTTCTGCTATTTTATTACTAGCTTATTTTGTTGAGTACAATTGTTTATATGACGTAGCTGAGGTAAAAAAGATCAAAAGACAATTATAGGTCATTAGCTGAGCCCAAGAATCATCTCTTATAGTGCTAAATCATATTTAATAACCAGTACAACATTCGTTTACCCTCTAACTAGTACATCCAGACTTTAATTCCGTTAAATCAAATGATAAATTGTATTTTAAATAGTGAGTGTACCATATATATCAAATTCCGTTTAACAAATGTAAATTCTGACTAAAACAAATTAATTCAATTTTGTAGAAATTGAACATTCACATGAAACGTCTGGTATAAAAGGACCGTATTGAACAATGAGTAAAAATATAGGGTAAATAGTTTTTTACGCTATTTGATACGAATAATTTGGCTAAATAACTTTCTAAATCAACTTTTACGTTTAATTGTTATTTGATCATGATTAGTTTTAATTGACATAAAATTTAATTTACGTTTATAAATACCGAAGGTTTGTATAAAGTATCTGCGGCAGAAATACATATCGAACAATCAATGGAGCGATAAGCATCAAAATTTTTGCACTATTTGCTAAAATGTAATTCGGAGTAAAAAAGGCTATCTAAGGTCTAATCATTTCATTGCACTTGAATTACCAATAGTGGAGAATTATCAAGACATGGAAAAGATATTTGATTTTATATACGGTGCAAAAAAATAAATTATTTGATGATGTATAGCTAATTTTATACTGTAATAGGTGATAATGTCTACGATTGTGAACAGTTAATGTGATAATAATAGACATGTAGACAGTCTGGCACAAAATGTTGACGTGTTGCGGGCTACATTGAAAGGTTATTGTAGACTTGAATGTAAATAGCAGGAAATATTAACCAAGTGAACCAATATGGTAAAGAAATTACTACCACTGAAGACAATAAACGATTAAAATAATACCTTACAGAATTGGATTTGCTTTTTACGTACAGTAGTAACTGTACATGAACACGATATGGGAATTTGATAAAAGTCATTAATAGATATTGATAGAGCAAATAGTCATCAATTTTTTATTATTTCAAGTTTTTAAGGGTTTGTTCCGCGTGCTTAGTCATACTAATTTTCAACTTTAAATATTAGAAAATTGGCAAGGAAATGATATTGTATGGTATGCTAACTTGTATAAAATCATAATTTGATAATTTATATAACGGCACTGTGTACTTGTATTGAATCGGTTATAGCTTATTCCGCCATGGCATTCCTTCATATCTTATCAGGTGATACCTACCAGTGAAAAATAATTGGAATTTTCGGTTTGATGGATAGTTGCAATTCTAGACCAGTTAAAGTGACGCATAACTGCAATTCGGGGGCCATTATAGGACGAATCTGGCATTGCCATTCGAAAGAACGTTTTATATCGACTTTTATCGCTAAGGACGGGCGATGCAGCGATATAGGATATCTAACCATTAATTATAGATTAAAAATTAGGAGGTGGTACAGCAATGGCAATTACAGCTCAATTAGGAAGTAAATTGAGGATGCCGAAATAGCATAATAGATCAAGTTTTCTATGATATAATAAAGTGGAGCGTAAACATGCTACAACAGTATTTAATATTTTTCTGTAAAATTTTCTAGTAAAATTAATTGTATCCTATAGAAAATCGAATTTTTTTATAGGGATTTCACTTATCATTACAGGTTATCTAAGTGTAGCCTACGTAATATTTACCAAGTAACTGATAGTAAACACGGCATGATTATTATAGCAGCTTTATAATTAGAATATCAAGACTATTATCCAGTGGCAAACAATCGGATGCAATATAGGAGTATCCAAGCTAAAACAATAATATCTTTCTCTATACCTAGATTTCTTTCTAAATTGATATTTAAAATAGGCAATTAAATAACGCAGTTTTATCCAAGATTACAGCTATATTACCATAATTAAGTTGTAATATGGACAAGCTTCAGCAATAGGCTGCGTTGACATTGAACAACCATCACCAACTAGCATAATTTTAGTAGGCTCTTTCGCTATTTCTTCCATAAACAATGAGGTAGAATAGCCAGCTAAACACTATGTGATAAAAGCACAAACTTTAGAATTGCAATGACTATACCTTGACAAACGTTATGTCTAGGGTGCGATTTTGCAGAATACCATAATAATTTGGTCATGGATGAGTGATAAAATACAGTCTAAATCTGTAAGATATTATAATTTAAGCTGCTATGATTGAATTATCCATTACATCGTTGTTTAAAAATAAGTCATTCCTTTTTCGATATTACTTTCATTGTTTGATTAAATTATAAAAAAACTCAACCATGTCTGGACTTATTTTGCCGTTACTTTATAAATGCTTTCATTGAAAATTAAAATTATTACTACTTATTTAGATATATCGATATAATTATCTTGTCTTTTTCTAGTTAATTACATTTTGATAGACATTGCGGGTGGTAGTATATAGTTTACTGCATACAACTTTACGCGAACTGGTATAAATGGTGTCAATATATTCAAAGAATCAATAATAAGAATGACATTGTTCTAAGATGATACGCTGTTTTAATAATATCATCATGATTAGCGTTCTTTAAGGTTGAACAGCTTTATGATGCTATTATTCTATTATTTTTTTATCAAAAAGACACCTGCAGTTATGTTGTTATTACACTTTGAATAAAATGATTAAACAAATTACTTAAATATGGGTAATTTTTTACCGGGGAGGGAGAATAGGTATATAGGTCTTCAATGATTCAATATATCAATATTATTAGATCGATAAAAAATACCTAGACGTTTGGTTAATCGTATGATGCAGGCATTTGTTAAACTTTTTTAGTTTATGAACTGGATGAAACCCTAACATTTGCGTTTCTGTTAACTCTTGATTAACTGCATACATACATTCTTATTCAACTTGACATTACGGTATATACTATATACTTTCAAAGTTAGTCTAAGATATTAATGTATTTTAATCCGGTTATGCTATAAGACATACAGAAAGTATAGTACAATTGATCTCTTTAAATATTATAATTGATTCAATTTTTAAATGTTAATGAAGGTAACCAATCTTAAAAATTAATGTCAAAGTAATAGAAATAAGGCTTAAAAATAACGTCTTGATCTCAAAAATCAAGGATGTTGTTAGAAGTGATTCCGCATTTAATAACGAAGAACTATCGTAATGAAGATTTACAGTAATTAAGATAAGTTAGGTGATTATCAATTATCTATCCTATAAGGTACGGCCTGACTAATAAATTATTAATAAAATGAAATTAAGATTGAATTATTTCCTGTAATATAAGAATTTCAATCTAATCGATCTATAGCCTATTAAAAACTATATTAATTTTATCCGACTAAATTGCACTTTATCCGGGTATACGAGATCTTTAGTATTTTTATTTTTTTATATAACAAGAGTTGAACTTTTTTGTAAGTAAATATCATTATGTAAAGCCATAATGATGGTTATGTGGATTATTAAATGAGTTATTTCAGCTACAAGATTAATCCTGAGAATTCATTAAACTTATGAAAAGATATTGACGAATATCATACGTACTTTGGCTCATTTTAACAAATACTTAAGTTATAATTACTGTAGATGTAAGGAAAATTCGATACGCTAACAAATGGGAAAATTCCATTTTTCTAAAGGACAGCTTAATTTCAAATTAGTTATGATATTACAAACGATGTACTTTTAGTCTTATACATAATATCTGTTGATAGACAGTATTTGGTATATTTTTTATAAAGTATATTAGCAATGAATATTTATCTAGTAAGTATCATCGATGTAAGTATTGAAACCTGCCATTAAAACTGCCTATCTTTAGAAATGTAGTTACTGGTAGAGTAACGTTAGTGTCGATGAAAATGAGCGAATTTTTATCTTTGCTATTGCGATAAAACTGATTGTAAATATGAACATTTTGACTCAAATATAACTAGTTGAGGTAGTACCTTACCTTTGTGTCACTCCAATTTATTTCCAATTTGTAATCTGCCAAGACCTGGCTACTATTATTAATTTCTGCAAAGCCCATTTCTAAAGCAGGCAGCATTCCTGCAGCGGAAAATCCTCCCGACGCGGAAATATCAATAGGTACGAAACCCGATAAATGTAATTTTTTATGCTTGAAAGCAGCGACTTTAGAGAATATTAACATCACACTTAGTAAAAATGCAACACTTTGACAGGTGGAAATTAATTTTTGGCTTAATTTCATTGCGAAATACGTATTTAGTCAGATATAGGAGAAAGAGAATACATCAGAATAGAAATAAACTTGCGTTGTAAGTGTCTGTGGTTCCCCAAGACGCAGGCTGAGAGTGATTGTGATTAAAACCTGAATCAATCATTTATACTGTATTTTCCTGCTCTAACAAAAGAATCTTATTTGGCCTGATTGACCTATATTGAATAATTCCCAACTAATAAATAGAAAATTTTATTTTACGTGTGTCACACTTTGTTATTTTTAGGTCGATTTCATATTAAAGCAGAAAGATAAAAGAGATTTGTAATTGATGAATAAAACTCTTAAAATACCGCAACTTTATTGACCAATGATATTAAGTAGAGGGAATAATCGCGATTAAATATTATTCTGAGTATTGGTAATGGCCTACGAAAGAATGAATAACAGATGCAGGGATAATTTAAGTGTTATCTTAATTCATTTCTCACCTGCTCTAGTATTGTTTTTAAGCGAATCGGTTACATTTATTAAAATAGAATTTATCTAATAATGCTGAATTGTACTACCATAACATTGAAAGTTTGGCAGCTATCAATTTGACAGTAGGAAGTTGGGTGGGAAATTAAATTGATAATGGCAATTTTAGAAGGAACAATTTTTATATATCGACAGTAAGCGCTATGATTAATCTTAAAGAAATTGTTGTGTTGATTGTGGGCATGGTAAAGAGTTTGAATAATTGATACTTGATTTATTGGCATTCACTAGTTTTAGGGTTTGTAAATGTAACAAAATCAATTACTATAGTAATGATATGATTGTGCAATGAGGATGAGATTGTTGGATACTATGAAGAAGAACAGTTTCCTAAAAGTTAGCCGACCTATTCTAAATGATTCATCTGAAAGCTTAAGGAGTTGCAAATGTATCGTCATCAATTACTGTAATAAGGATAGGATTGTCAAATGAAGATGAGAAAATAGGTTAGTGGATATCATAAAGAATAGTTTCTGAAAAGTTAGTCGACCTATCTTGAACGATTCATCCTCAAACTATATCTACTATCATGTAGTATAGACTGAAACCACTATCTTGATTTACGTAAAACACGTTACATACAATTTCAAGCAAGGCATTCCTATTATGGTCTAGAGCTGTGATGACAGTTCATAATGCAAATAGATTCTAGATTCTAACTCGTAACAAGTTCATTAGCTTGCCAACAACTTTGACGATATTTTTAATTGATTAGATAAGCTTATTTTTGGTATATAAGCTCTATAAGCATGTTGTGTATTTGCTGTTTCGATTGTGTCAAATAGAGTTGGCTTTGTTGTTAGCTCAATCGGCGAGCAAATAGGAATGGCTGCTATGGTCAATGTCGCCAATGCTATACACTTGGTCAAGATTCAACATACCATTGCCAGATAGCATCTATCCTATTTGAAGAGCTCATCACTCATTACAACATAGCAATACAAAATAGACTTGTAAAGTAGGTCAATTTTTTAATAAATGATACTAGACGATAAAATGATAATCATACTTGTAGGATGAAATGTAGTAGATTAATAATAATAATCTTTTCAAAATAATTCAGGTCATTGCAGTAGATACAATAAAGCTTACAGTTAAGATAGCATTCTACGCATTGAACTCTTTGATTGGACAAGAGCGTTTTTACTTCTTTACTGTTAGGCTAAAATGTACAGCCAATGATGTTTATAAGCAAATAAGATTGTACTTTTGAAATGTTCTTTTTCCATCTATTTTAAGCTATCCATACGTATGAGTTGACGATGAATACTAAGATATTAATCGTACATTCCAATAAGTCATTCATAACGATGAATTATTATTGCTAAATAGAATGTTATCCAATTTTATGATATAAAAAGTCTAACATTCTGTATTATTACCGATGCAAATTTCTGATAAGATCGACGTAGAATCATGTACAGAAGAGTGCATCGTTCAATTTCGATTTTTTTTTTTTTTCCTTTTCTATGCAACACAAACATTTAAACTAACGTTAACATATAACAATGTACTCGAAACACTACAGTATCATAGCGACGATAGTAATGATAGTAGGGATTGATCATTTCTTTCCCCATGTTACAATTAAGTTACATTTACGTTCATCTTGATTAAACTGGGCATCAGTTGATTAGAATGTAATATGGAAATGGACTTTTTTGGAGAAACGTTAGGCCATTGCTTTTAACCTCACTAGTGTTCTTTCCTTTTGGTGTTGGACACCGAGATATAATGGTATAAAACGACTAGTAGAAACAAGGCAATGCCAAGCATATTGGCAAAAACAGCTAATTGGACGTCAGTAACCATCTTTTAGAATAATTTCCTTTCTGTTCGATTTCAGTAATGTTGATTAATGGCGAGTTGAAGAGATTTTCTTGCTCACACTGGCTGGCCAAAAGAGGGAGCAATGTCGAGGCTAGGCTGCGTTTTAAACGTGGCAGGAGCTGAAAGGGTTGACGAATCAGTGGGGTTTTGTGCTCGCCTTCTCCACTCTCCATAGTACAGTAGAGTAACGCGCTGACGGAGGCATGGGGCACGATAGTCGCAGTGTAGAGTACGGCATGTGCGCAGTGTTAACTGTATCCACATTACAGTACTGCCATACTACGTACAGTATAGTACTGTATAGTACAGTACGTAGTATGGTATTGCTAGTGGTTTTGATACCGTACCAGAAAAGATTCTCCACTTCTACTGTTATTACTGCATGTTATCCGTGCCATGGTACCACCTACCACCACGATAGTCCATATGCAATACTTTACATTACTACATAAGTACAGTACATTGTACACTGCGCGATGAACTTGGGTGGCACGAAGGCAAATAAACTGTGTAGGCTAAATCAAGCCCAAAGTAGGCTACATCGTCTATGTAGATGTAGCCCAATAACTCATATCGATTTAGAACGGGAGTGTTAACAAATTGCAACTTTTAATTTTCGACGCCATCCTGCCATCGAAGTTAATCGCGTTGTACAGTACAATGTACTGTACACACTGTACACTGTACACTGTACAGTATGACGGTAAGTAGTTCATTCTTTGCCGTCTTAGGGTCCGACCCGGACCAGACCAGACCAGACCAGACCAGACCATAAAGACCTCTACAGAAGTCTACAGTACATGTACTGTACTGTACTGTACTGTACTGTAGAGTACAGTACAATATGTAGTACTGTACAATACACTCTACAAGTCTACAGTACATGTACAGTACAATGTACAGTACTGTACTGTACATTGCGCAGAGTACCTTATAGTGTCATTATTTCGCCATTTTCACCAGCAATTTGTAGGGTCCTGTAACAAAGAGTTAGCAAAATTGATGTCACTACTAGACTTCTTAAATGGAGTAAAAACGCAACCCAAACCCGATCCAATTATTGATTTTCGAACCCGAAATGAGTGCAATCGCTATACAAACAATGTATCAGCACAGAATTACTTAACCCGAGTCTCTTCCTCGAGTCGGGTTCAAGTTGGGTTTCGGGTTGACTTTTAAGGACACTGATCACTACCATCATTGCCCGTTCAACCATGATGCCTACTGATTGCCTGCTTACGGTACTGTACTGTATGTTACTACTCACATCACTCAGTGCGTTATATCAAACGTGTTCTGCCAGACCGTCAGCAAGGCAACGGGCGATCGTACAGTACTACTAAGTGTACAGTACACTGTACTCTAGAGACCCTGACGTCTCTACTGTACTTTACAGTACTCCAGAAAAAAAGTCACTGCACTGCGCATACTGTACTGGGCCACTTGCATCTTCGAACAACTTGCAAAATTGCAGCTGCCTTGATCGGATTCTACAGTACTAGAATCATTGTAGAATTGCACTTCCATGGACGCTCTAAAAGCCGAAATAGAACGAAAAAGGAAACAGTTATTGGAAAACTCTGCTGTCGTAAGTAAAGTAATCATGACGTGAAATAGCTAGACTTTAACTTGTACGCATCAATACGATGTGATCTAATGGTCACTACTGATTAAAACAAATCTCGGAGTAGCTGGATAAAAACTACAACCGTTCTACTTTATAATTGTTATTTATTATTATTATATCAGCAAAATGATTTGTTTGACAAGTACAGTTCACGCTAAGCTCTACAGTCAATCCTACTGTACTTCCTGATACTATATAATTTGATGATGGTGGCATATTAACCAGTTACTGGACAATTACCACTATTCAACTGTAACTTGAATTTTGTAATGATTAGAATGCTGCCAAGAAAAGATTTAGACGTGGTGACCTGGAAAATAGCACGGACCTTGCTCGAGAGGAAGTAACCCAGGTAGCTTGGATATCACAGTAGAGTAATGTAGATCATCTTGGTGTATATATATAATAGTGTATGAACGATATCTTGTAGCTGAATACAGAGAAAGATTATTAATTATACATGTAGTATACCAAATTTATTCTGAAGTAGTTATTCTGCTGTGGAAATGATGGTATCAGCGTAACGTTGTACTACCTGTAAGCATACTATATAGGCTTACTTGTTCTTTTCAATATAGGATAACGAATTATCAAAAGATGAAGCGGAAAATAATTCGATAGAATTATCAGCCAACGATGATTACTCAAACGAGAGTCTGATCAAATCGAAAGTGGAAGTACGTCTGCTGTACTACTTGATCACTTATTGCTACCATAAATGTTGTATAGTAATTACATTTATGCTTTACTATTTCTGTTTAAATTGAATTCAATTTATTTAGTACTATATTATTTCAACTAGCCGAAGAACTGTCAGTCGAAACAATTATTGTACTGTATATCTTTACATAGGTTATCAGAAGGCTTCGTGAACGCGGTGAACCAATAAGATTATTCGGCGAAACCGACGCAGACGTCGTAGGAAGGCTTAGGTAAACTTTTAAAATGTATGACACATGTGTATAAACTTTTAAATATGGTATGATATGTACAATAGGTGTTGTGCTGTTACTGTATATTGTACGGTAATGTTATGGGTAAACCTGCGGTACAATGTTATTAACACTTAATATCATTACAACAAAATAGGAGAATCGAGTTCATGGCTCCCGAAGTGAATAAGGTAAAGTGGTACCTTTCCTTTAGAAGTCTTCGATTACCTTACCGTACTATCTTTTAATAAAGCAATACTGTTATTAAATGTTTTACTTCCCATGTTAAAGGGTCTTCGTAACGATTTCAAAGCTGCTATGGATAAAATTGACCAAGAGTATCTCGATGAACTTATTAACCAACAAGTATGCACAGATGATGACATTAAAGTAAATGTTAGCGTGTTTTAAAGTAGTGGAGTGGAGTAATTTTATGTTCATGTTTAATGTTTCAAAATGCAGCCCGATACAACCGATAAAAGTGAAGAGGTTAACGCTCGAGTTTTAAGTATGTCGCTAGAAGATTTTAAGGTAAAATTAGAGCAATTGCATAACGGCAACATGATAATATATAGTATAGGTTATATACTAATGATGACATTTTGCAGGACGTAGCTGACGATTTTAACTCTGGTAACAGTAAGAAGGACCAAGAAGTTATTTTATCTGTTATTAAAGTAAATTGACTATACTTTTCAATGTATTGTAAACTATAGCAACTCCGATATTTCATTGTTAACTTTTTTCTGCTATTAGTTTATATTAGACTACTGGAATATGAAATTAAATCAAAGAACGGAAGCTGAAAAAAGAAGTACACAGGCAAGCTCATATAGCCATATTTCAAAGCTAATATCAATTTTAAGCATAGCATATAGCAGTTACTCTTTATCCTATCCGTCTTGAGAATATATCTCAACTGCTATTTCCTCAGGGTAAACTACAAAGTGCTATACACAAGCAAACGAAAAGATATATGAAGCCGTTGTTAAAGAAATTGAAAAAGAACGTGAGTACTATAAATTTGATTCATTGCAGATATTTGTATAATAGTAGCTATTTTTCTTTACACAGTCGGTTCTCATTTTTATTTTAGAAAGTAGAAGAGAGTATGCTGAGGGCTTTGACTGAAATTGTTGTGAACATGCTAGATAGGGAATACGTGAAGGTATATAAACCATACCGGCTGTCTTTTAAACTGTTATAAAGTGATGAATTACCAAACCTAATGAGTATGGCGTACCGTACGTACACCGCATTAACGTAGATTATTATTTGAATGAATTTTAGTTTTGCTATCTATCCTAGTCAATTCCTCAGTTAAACCCTGAAAGGGTTTGTCTTCATCATATAATTGTCCTAACCGTAAATTTCATGATCGTAGGCCAACGATATTTATGTAAGGATGGCTATTGGTAATGCTGCATGGCCAATAGGTGTTACTATGGTCGGTATTCATGCTAGGACAGGCCGTGAAAAAATTTTTGCACAGCATGTAGCACGTATCCTTTTTGGTATATTTAGATTAATATTTACAAATGTAAAATGATGTAAAGCTTGAAATGGTATAATTTGTTCTTAACGAAATTATATCAGATGTACTGAATGATGAAACACAGCGCAAATACATACAGGTAAATTCTTTATTGTTATCACCAAGAATTGTCGCCTAAAAATTTTCACTCTTATTGATTGTAACTATACTTGTGATATATAGTTTGCAACTTATTAGTATTTTACGCTAATTCTTGTTCAAATTTATAGGGCTTCAAGCGTCTAATGACTCGATGCCAAATGTACTTTCCTACGGACCCTTCAAAATCAGTAGAATACCAAGGTCACAACGAATGATGATATACAACCTTTCAACTTTGCGTTGATTTTTATTCATTAACTATTGCACTGATCACCTGTAAATTCTATTACTTGTTACTTATTCTTTTGATGTTCTTGTACTGTATATAGATACTTGGTTGTATCGGTTCGATAAATTCGTAGTATTATAGCTGATCAATTGGTGTACAGTATATTTTACGTATTACGTTAGTACCAACAATTGCAGTTCACATTGCTATGGAAAAAAACATGCAATAGCAATAAATTCAGTGTCTTATGACGTCAACTGCTCTATCTCGTTTGTAAGCTTATCTATCATCTTGGCTTTTAAACATTGGAGGATACGGTAAATTACATTATTTTAGCCTCTATTCTAATATGACTAAGTATCCATAGTTTTACCAGCCATTCATGCATGAGTTTTGTTTTTTCCAAGGAAAGAGTATCTTGATCCAAATTATAAGTGTTATACAATTTCGAAGATTAATACACTGTACTATGTTACACTGTAGAAGAATAAAATTACAGAAGTGCCTCAATAAAGTATAATCATGATCACGATAGAATGAATTCATATTATACACGACATATAAACTATGATGTTGTACACGTTTACTTGCTTTTGTTTGCATTCCGAGCATGCAATCATACAGTATATATTAAATGTAGTGTTGAAAAGATGCGAGGATTACGCAAAAGCATCACGCAGGGGGGGGGGGGGGGTTCTGTATGGACAGTATATGGACGTGTATTAAATTAATCCCTTAATTAATTAAAGTAGTTCAAGACGGATTAATGACCCCATTGCAGACTTACTGTAAGCTGATCCCTGGTAGGTGTACTATACTGTATGTCAAAAGCAGTCCAGGCCAGCACAGTATATGCAGAAGTCAGATCATTTTTAATGCTGACACAGTACAGCAGAAGTCCGGATTCGCCGTCTGTACTGTACAGTAATTGTCTATTCCGTGGTAAACAGTAGGCACGCCAAATTGACGTCGCCAACGTAGTACTGTACAATACGGTATTGTACAGTACTGTATTGTAATAAAAAGATTAAAAGATCGTTATCAAACAGTTCTTCTTATCTAATAATAAAAGCAAAGTTTAGATTACACCTTTCCATGCAGCGAATGGATTGGCGCGGCTAAGCTAGTAAAATACAAATAGTACAGTATCTGCAATTTAGCTTCCTGTTCAAACGCCAGGTTACACTTTGGTTCTATTCTATTGGGCAAGTTGGAGAAAAAACTAACAGAATTGCTATTCATAATTAAATCAATCAATCAGGTACCGTAATCTGATAAAATCGAATTAAAAGCTATTTTAATTTGGGGGGGAATCTATTATACTAGGCTGTTGTTGGCAATGTAAAATTTTTTCTTTTTTTTAATTTGTGCATGACTTGAAGTTAACATGAAGGACAGGATAATAAATGGTTGATAATATTTGAATCGATTGCCACATTGGCGCCGATACTTTAAGTAAGATGAAGTAGTTTGTCAGTGGATTACCAGAAGATGTCGATTTGATTTGTTCTATCAGCTTGACGATCAGTAGTGTTATGGAAAATTTAAAATTGATTTTACTGCTGACGTGCTAGCACGCTGACGAGACAACTCTAATAGTAACGAGTGCATAAGAAATAATTTTCCCTTTCCTTGAAATTGATGATTTCATTCGCTGGACTACACGGCGTAATCGGGTGCCTGCTAACTTTCTCATGCTGCATTCTCAGTTTTTAGGATCGGCGATTGGATTATAATTATTATTGTAAACGATTTGAACATTGGACAGTACCTAGACAATCACAAAGTGTATAAAACAGTTTTGATCATAATTCATAATCAAAGCTGAATTGAAGTTTAGCTCACTCCCTGTAATTAAAATATTCATTACTTTTAGTTCCGCGCAAAGCATTGTTTTCGTATAAAATCGTCAATTGACGATTTTAAAGTCTTTAAAATTTCTCCACCAAATTTTCCTGATGACGTTTTGGCAACTTTCTGGGGTTTGGAGGGATAATCCTTGTACTTCTACTATTAGTAATGCATAGTATAGAATGAAATTATTAATCAAATCATCTTTATTCGACTACTAAACCCGAGATATTGGATTGATGTGCAAAAATTTATTTGTAGCTGGTTTAAACGATGAAGATATTTGGACAGCAGTGATTGCCATAGTGCTATAATATGACGTCTTGTATTGCTTGATAATATAATCTATAAAAGAAATGGAACTAAATTTGAGAGTCAAGAATTGAAGCTTATGTCTTAAATATGTCAGTTAATGTGCGGGTGTAAACAAACTGTTTTACACTTATCAGTACAGAGAGAAGCGCATGTTAACGTGAAGATCATTTCCTGGTAACGGCATTCTTAAACCGTAATTATAAATTAATTGATCGATTATACAGTATTATGAATTATTATTGCGAAGTTGGCTATTGGGATTCAGAGAAGAGCTTTTTTCTTTTTATACTGTACAGTAGATCATGAATTAAGCTGTGTGTTTTTATTACGATTGCAACAAGAGGTAACCTAATACACACTTTCATTTATCCATATGCGTACAGTTTTGTTTGTTTTTCCAATTTGCCTAAAAACAATATTAGCATTGGCCCAATACTCGTTCTGAGTTTTTCGTTTTCGTTATTTACCCGGAGATGATATTGATTATAATTACGGTATATAGTGCCAAACGTGTAGTATGCACAAGAAACGCATGTAATTAAATGTCCCTTTTGGGTTAACCTAAAAAATCGTAAAGTAGTACAGTAGATCCTATGTACAGTACTGTACAGTATGTTTCATGATTGTCATTATGCTCCAGCCGATCTGGTACATTACAGTTTTCTCGTAGATTGCCCGAATCGTTCATCGATTGTTTATTGCCGCTTAACTATGATTAATAATGTACTTCGTTAGCCGACTGGAACGTATCATTTAATTGTAAAAATTGATATACGAGTATTGGCAACGATGTACAGTAGTTGTATAACTTGTGGTTTCTACGCGTATCCTTCATTATAATATGAGTATTAATAAAGCAGTTTTCTGTTACGGCATTTCAGACTACAGGATTATTGTACTGTACATTAGACCATATACAACGATTTATATTTATGGGCGGCATTGTTATTTACTCTGGTGCCTGTAACGAAAAACATCGATATCAAGCGTGGTCTCGAGGGGTTAAGATTGTAGTTTTGTTGTATAAACGTTTCTGTTATTTGCTCGGGCATAGAAGAGCTATCCCCGTAGTTTCTGCCTCATCAGATAGATGTTGTTATACAGCACCTGATTTGTTGCATATCAAATATATTATACTGCGTTGTAACCGTATTTAAGGCTAGAATGTATTTACATCTTAAATTATATGCAATTTTAATTTTATTTATTTGATTATTTTGAACTTTTCAATATAGTACAAAATATAATTATCCAACTTCTTAGCAAATGATGCTCTGTTATTATTGTCATGTGGGTGTATTCATGCATGTGGCTTGCGTTGATATTACACACTGTGGTGGCCTATAATCGTAGCGGTGATACCCTATCTGAAGGCGATCCTTTCCATAAATTATCTAGAAAATATACTTTGTCTGTAGCTACCTACAGCATATGGAATGATAGATATCACTGGCATGTAAGAAAGCTTCGAATCGCTGAATTAGTAAGTCTTATGTTGATTCTTAAGCCTTTAATTTAAAATTATATGCGTATATGCTCCTACATTTTTTCTTTATCTCGTCGTATTGCTATCGCAATGTACTGTTCATCAACCTACAGTTATGCTATTTCTGATCACGGCACTCATTGAAAGCCTACGTCCGATGATGTACTTATTCTACGAGTATATACAGTTAATATGCATCCAACTACTAAGTATATAAATCTGTTACATCTGGAGATCATATAAATGATGTAGTGATAACACTCCTGAAAGAGCTTGAGATTGACGTGAGTACTATTACGTACATTCATTAAAACTAGACAATAATACGTTCAATGGAGTGGAATGTTTAAGTTTGCTGCATTGCCTACTAGATCTATTGAATAGATTTAGCTCTATAAATAAAAAGTTCAAACTGTTAGTAAAAATGCAGTGCCTGCTTTTGCGTTTACATTTTTCAGTGAAATTTCCATAACTGTGAATAGTTAACTGCTTATAATGAGATATAAGCGGCTTCCTATACTACGAATTTAATTGTAATATTTCCATTATAACTTTGCTACTTGTAAATAAATAAAGGTATATGTACGAGTAATATAGAAAATGGATGAATTTCGTATAAATTAATATCCTCATCATGGACTACTAATTACGATTGTAATAATTTGTGTAATGTTCCATTTTGTGGGACGTAATAGTTCAACAGAAATCATTTGCCTGTCCTGTTGTAAACATTTCTATAATTTTCATTGTAGATCATAGATCTTAAATTAGACATAATAGCACTTCAAGATGTCCGCTATAGTACTAAGTTAAAGACTAGTCAAGCTCACCAGCTACAAGCAATTTTACCCCGAGTGTATAGATATGTTATATTTCAGCCTATCCGGTATATTTTTGATACGATGTCGCCAAGTATTACCTGGGATGTTGAAGGAATTGCTTTTATCAGTCGACATTATCTAATACATTCTGCTTCTACTAATTTAACATTATACGATCCGAATGGTAAGTTTACTTCTACTAATGATTAAATAACGTTATAATGATGAATCAAACTTTGTAAATTAAGTTTCGTTTATGCGTATATCTTGATTAAGTCTAAATTTTACAAATTATCTATCAATTTTACCATAGTGACAAAACGATAATAATAACAATATAACAATACATATCATTACGCAGTATCAAATCTGTAAGCAGTTGTGCAGAATTCACTCAGACAGTGTATAATTAAAAGTAGCAGTCGATAATTAATATGTAATTATAGTTATGCTCATAGAAATAGCGAATATTGTTAATTTATACCATTCTGATTACATTTGATTAATATTAAGAAAACGATTTATGATATTTAAAACTACACGCACACGCGCATATAATCAAATTAAGGAAGATGCTGCGAAACTCAACTAATGATAGTCAATTTCTTATTGTGTGTGCTATTTATTTTAAAGATTCTTCCAGCTATTCAAGTAGTGCAGTAGCAACGGTGAAAATGTACATTCTTGGTTTAGGCAATATCGATGTTTCTGCAGTAATGCTCTCTGGTAATTCAGCTTTGCGATGCAAGGAAATTGGGGAATTATTTCATTACCTTGGTACACATGTTAGGTCTTCATACCGGATCTTAATGGGTGACTTCAATGTTAATAGACAGCAAGAGAGTATTATGAATGATATGTTAAATGGCCAGTTTAAGCAAAATTCGACGTGTTTCTTAACTTCACCGTACAGACAACAGCGATTTATGAAGTGGAAAGACGCGTGGATCGAGGCTGATCCTGGCTATGCTGGTATTACATATAGCCCTGTGGTAAGTCGCTTGTCAAAGTGTCCTTCGAGGATAAAATTAGTTTCAGATAAACAACTAGATGATCTTATCAGTATCTACTTATTTTAGTGATATGTTCTGATGAAATTGATCACTCCTAGTATATAGTAAGTGAAATGTTAACCTTTATTATCCAGTTTTTTTATACCTACAAGTTGATTATTAATTTACGGCAATGCATAAGGTTCATAATCAGTATACTATACGTTCGTAAACGTAAAACACATTACCATTTTACTGCATCTATGATATAAATGCATTTCAGGTACAGTCATAGCATCAGCACAGTACTCATATAATTATACGATTCCTTATGTCTTGAATTAGTTATCAATCTAAAAATGTTTTATTTTCTACAGCCTACTATAGGTTATATCGCTCGCAGGGATCGTATCCTGTTATCGAATTCATTACGCATTAGACGAGCATTGCTGGAAGGCTATGGTGCTAGGTACAAATCACTCTTCGTTGTTCTAGTTATCTGGGAGAGATTCAAAGCGGTCATGAGCATGGGATATTCCCATTTTCGTGACTCACGAGGAGACGATTGGTTTTACTATGGTAGTACCTGCTCTTATAAATGCGGCAATGGAAAATCTTGTCGATGTGGTGTTTGTTCAAACTCTCGCAACTCTTTCTGCTACCTAGATCAATGCACAGAATGCACCATGGTGCGATTTGTGCAACTAACTTTAATTCTCATATGCTTTTGTATTTCATCCCTGTTTAGTTGTATACTGCTACTTAGACTAAGTATTAATATTTGGTTAAACGAAAATTATAATTTAACACCATGCTCTTGGATGACGAATGGATGGTGGGGCCGTGTACGAGCTATTCGTAGAGGGTTCACGTTATCTAAACTACATAGTACTGTCTATCGTATTATTCTTTGTCTCATCCGTAAACTTATTAATGTTAGAAAATTGCAGATACCGTCGTTAATCTTTCGTTTAATACTTGCTTTCTACCTTATAATTATATCTATTATTGCTGCAAGATGGGGTATTTACGATACTATTCATTTGATCAAGACAGTTGTTCCGGAAGAGCAATATCCAGCCGATCACCTATGCTTAATTGCCACAGTTGAAGCGGTTAAGTAGCAATTATGAAAAAAAATTCAAGCTTAGTTCACGCGGATTTAGTTATTTACGATCCATCATATGCAGTTTTTTATCAAAAAATGAAACAGCTTTATTAATCTCTGCTTCTTTCATATATATTTATTGCTATTGTTTGTGCTTAACTTGTTGCATATTTAATATACAATCAATTTTGTAACACATACAGTACATCATATATTAATTGTAAAGAGCACGACTCTTGCGCCTAACGTGATAACAAACAGAACTAAAACTATCGATTTCCTTATACGGAATTTGCTTTCTACACGTTACTTGGTATAAAGATTTATTTAAGTATTTCACCAATAGATAATAATAGGCTGTACAACTTGGAATTTAGACATCAAAAAAAATGATTTAAGTCGAATAAAACAACGTTACTCTAAGTCGTGTGTAAAGTTTCGTTCACAGAAACAAATTTAAATAATAGTAGTGGAAGCACATTGCATCATCTCAATTTTTCTTTCCATTTCTTACTGCTGTGTTTCATTCTTGGACTGCCCGTTTTCTATTAATAGAAAACGGAAAACATTAATTTATCTAATTAAATTATTGAATTTGCTCGATTACTATGTATCCTTTAATTAATTTAGAGCTGGGTTAGGGAATCAACTACAATGTAAAAAGGATATTCATTAATGCTGCTAGTACTAATGCTATCAAGTGGTGCTTCGTATAAGATAATTTTCTTACAGTCTATTAGAGAGCTTCTGTATACCTTAATAGCGAATATATATATATATACATATGTACTATACTTTGAATAATGACGCAATTGACTTCAATTCTTACCGCTTAAACTTGCTTTCAACTGGTTAATTGCGTGTACTAAGACGTACAATTGCTTCCTTCTCAGTTCCAACTGGAATACAGAACGGAACAAAGCATGTTAACAAAGGTCACTTTGGCAATACACTTAAATATTAATTTTAATAGTATTCCTTCATTATTGCAATATAAGCCGTGATAAGGCTGTATGGCAGTCGTGAAATGCAAAATTATTAAAGAATGAAATACAAGATAGCATTAGTGACGACGATCACCAGTTTCTATACCAAAGCTTAATTAGTGTAAATTTATGTCAATGCAAATTTACACGCTCAACACTTTGGAGTATTACAACCTGCACTAAAATCACTTGGAATTAAACACTATAACATTTTAAATTTAATATAGATTTAAGCAATTCATTCTATACAATATAATGTATGGCTTGCTATCCACATGAAGATGTTGATGCATTAGTACTCTATAGACAATGTTAGCTCACAAGATTGCCATTTAGGAAAAGTACGAATTGTGACTATTATTAATCCTCTTAGGAGAGAAAGTAATACAGTCACTAGTACGTGCAAGAAAATCATACCTCTTGATCTAATTCCTTCTCGACAGCGCTATGCGATTCGAGGGCAGTTAAGATTCTAATTATTATCCGAAGAAACATTGAAATGACCGTTAATATCTTTACTATTAATGTGAAATAAGGATAGAATTTAAACTACTAGAATAGATGAAATTTGAATCTTGACGTTCATTTAAAGTAATAAGTTATGTCGGTATAAGGTATTCAGTATTAAATTTATTTAAAATATTACTTTGTAGTCTCCTCTTTATTTGGATGCTGTTGGATAGCTTTACCTAAGGCATCATACTCTGAAATACATCAACGATATCCTTCAAGTTTAGTCATTACATCAAGCAATAGGCGAAGATAATGTATTATTATTAAGTATTCACAGATATAGTAATACTTCAATTTTTGCAATAATCTAATATGATTTCTACAGTCAGAAGGCATTTAAAGAAAGGTTATACGTTCGATTATACAGTTAATATACAGTATTTTAAAAAAATAATGTCGCCACTTTACAGGAGAAATTGACACGGTAGAGAGAAGTTCGTACTGTAGCTATGGTGCAAAATTCAAGGTGGCGACATTATTTTTTAAAATACTTTACAGTAATAGTGTCTTTAAACAAATCAGTTACTAAGATTAACATTTTCTGGCTTAAAATTTTGATTAATTTATAGAATTGTAAGAAGAGTGATACAAACCTTGCTGATGTCTACGGGTTCTTTTTGCCTCTTGTAATTCTTCTTTCAAATTACAGATATCTTCTTGTGCTCTTTTAATTCTATCAGCTATGGAAATGATGAGACGTTAGCCGGCATATAAATAAGAATAGCACACACAAAGTAGTATCAATTAATTAACTAATACGGATCACATTTTTACAATGCTATATCTAACAAGTCTGCATCTACGTAATTTTAAAGTGAAACTTTGGGGGGGTTTACGACTCTATCGCAATTATTGCTAAATTCGTCACTATTATAGAGTATATTAGACACTACATTATCAAAATTACTGCATCCCTTAACTGTATTTCAAGAAAACAAGATTTTTAAAAATTAAAAAATTTATCCACTATAAATCCGTATTTATCTCTAACATGATTTATAATATTTTCAAGCAAAACATTTTGATTTTATTTCTTACAGAGCCAATTGCAATCTACGTAGGCATAATCTTTGCACCCAAGGGTATCTGTGGTATGACTTATGCTTATCATATACACGGTATAAAGTACGAATGTAAGGCTATGAGCTTACTCAAATCTTCATTCAAAACTTGATAATTTTCCAACTCCCTTTTATTCATTTGATAAACTAGGTAATTCTTGGCTATTGTAGATTGGCAAGTGGCTAACATGGCCAACAAGCGTTCAAAAAATGCGCTACTGCAGAAAATAAAAATTTTCTCTTATCATCTTAGTTCGATCCTTGCACAGTAATTACTATAAAATATTGACATTAGAGGCTGTTCATTTTAATTATTTTCAATGTACAGGTTTATGTAGATGACTTACTTGCTAGCATCGTCTTCATTAGGATTATTGCACCATTTAAGAAATGACTTCATAAATGTTACTAATCTTTTTTCATCACCACTGCCATCGCCATCAAGAAGTAATCTCTTGCGAATGATTTCGTCTAGGCAATGAACAATTTTTATAAGAAAAAGAATGCAAACAACATGATAATGTCACTATTGAGTAGACACTGGTGGCACTTTCTGCTACAATTTACATCACTATAGTCGGTATCCACTTTACTAACGGATGACTAGAATCGAGTGATCCATGCCTGTGCCATACCTGCATGTATGCACATACACTTTAAGGGCAAAATAGATGTTCACTCTGATAAAATTAAAATTTCGTCTACAATAACTTTAAAATTATAGCTTGATAATCAACACATGCAAGCTTGATTAATCCAAGTGGATCATGTAATTGAAAAGCATCATAAATTGGACATAACAGTGTTTTACTTTGGCTACAACTTACCATCAGCCATATTCCAAATGTTGCATTGACTGAATGTAGTACTATACTTACAGTATGCCACCGTAGTTGAACAGGATCAAACACTGCCAAAGCATTGTACTGGATACTGTAGTTTACGTACTGTGTTGTACTTGGTCTACAGTACAATACTGTTGCATTGTACAGTACAGTACTGTACTGTACACTGTACAGAGCGGTATCGAGAAATCTGTTATAAAGGTGTTACGAATTCGTAGTGCACACAGTAGAGAAATTTACAATTGATAGAGACATTGTACAAATACAAAAAAGTGATCGAACTACATGCAACACATGAATCACAATATGCACATATAGTACTATACAGTATAGTCTATACCTCAAATGATGTCACCTCCTTGCTAGGTTTGTACTGTAGCAATACTCTACAGTACAATATTTATACTGTACCGTACACAGTGTACTGTACATTTCATGCAGGGACGGAGGGACGGCCGTAAAATCCAATTGTATTTATTTAAACGTTCCTAGTTAAGGTAGTAGCTAGAGTATGAGTGGTCCAGCTGATTTATCCATATACTGTACTACGAACTGGTAAAGAGTTACAGTAAAAAGAGTTTTACCTCACCGTCCCTGGGGATTTTATATAGTAGTCTAACTGTCCGAGAAAATTCTCTTGCAAGCCCTTGTACTAGCCGGCACATTTGAATATGATTATTATTACTAATGTTAATATACAGACTTACAGTGCTTAGTCGTGTTACTGTATGGTTTAAACATGAAACATTATTAGTATTTGTGAAATAAAGGGAGAAGAATTAATCGTATACTGTAGGTGTGCGTTTTACTGGACACAACAGGGTCTTATCATCATTCTAAATGCACACGTATACGTTATGGTATGGGATGCATAGTTGCACACTTTTTTGGGATCATATTTAGCCCGAATGCTTATACCTCTATTTTTCGGACACCACGAATTTTAATGATAATACTTTTCTAACTGCAGTTTTCTTCATAAAACGCCGGTAGAAACGCACCGGTAGGTCTGTCATGTTTTGACTCGCGGAGTCGCGGAGCTCATTATTAGGCGTGACTCATAAGCTCACAGGAATTTCTGTGGGCCGGTGGTGGTCAGGGATTCACGATTAGTTGTATCTGAATTAAACTCACTTATGCCTGCCAGGCTCCAGCCTTGTACAGTTACCATTATTTTAAAGGATATCGCCGTTGCAGAACTATCATAATTTCCTGTAGTACAGTACTGTACTGTCATTGCCACTCGACCTTTAAAATGCCCTACGCTACAATAGAGTGTTGATTCATTTCAGAACGCTAATGAGTTTCTCTACTGGAAAATAACTTATTCATAGAATTGGAGATACGAGTACATCACGATAACAAATCATGATTATAATTTGGCAGTGATAATAATTGTAACTATAATGTAAAGTATAAAGTACAAGTAGTCAATATAAACATATTTTGGTGCTGCTAAATCATGTACCTCAAATGAATGAAAGCTGACGATGCACAGCTATCGTACATGGGTAGAGTATACTAATCGTACTTTTTCGCAAACACTTGAAGTAATTTTGCTTCATATGGTAGATCACATTGCGAAATGGAGCTAGTACTGTATAGTCATGGAAATGAATAATAAAATTACTAAAGATATCAAAGTTATTGTCTAATATACAGTATTCAATCTTGACTCTTGATTGCTATCGGTTGCCTGATGATTTCGCAGTATACTCGTTGTAGTGAACATTTACTAGTCTATTCGTACAGTAAAGAGTAAAATAAATAAGAAACATCACCCAAAATCATCGCAAGACAAAATCAATTCCGATTTATAAATAGCACCTTCATCACCAGTATCGAATCAAGATGGTTATATAGTATAGAAATAATAATAATAAATAAATAACTGGCAGGAGCCGTGACTCACTTCTTGGGATGTCGATGCTGTTCAGTGAAACATGGTACAGTATTGTTCACAAGTACAGTACAGTACAGTACATTGTACAACTGTTGCAGATGCCGGTACTGTACACTGTACTGTACAGTACAGTATTTTAGACATGGTCAGTGTGACGGTGCACATCAGTATGAAAGTAGTGAATCTGATTAATAACTGGTGAAATGGGCTGTAATTTACAGCCGTATGAGTTGGTAAGACCATATGACTCATTGATTCACCTTAACCTCCGGCAAAAATAAATTCCTTTATTATCTCACTTACAGTTAAGAGAAAGAGCGATATTAGCTGTATAAAATTGATACAACCTCTATGAAAATAGCAGGTAGTACAACCTTAGTCGTAGTATTTTAGTTCAACTTTAATAAAAGTGTGATAACTCACTCGTATGCTTTTATCATGTCTTTATTAAGAGAATTAGATGTGAATGACGGCCACTGTAACACTAATCAATCATCAAGAAAAGACGCTTCTACAAATAAATTAATTGATCAATACAGTGCCGTACAATGACCTTTTTCACTCAAGACTGATTACGTATTATTGCAACATACTGTACAGTAATTTGGTACAGTAACTCTACGCCGTAGTAGAGTGCGCTAAACTGTTGGGTGTTGTTCGTTTAGGCATACTGTACAGTACTGTAGGTGTAACCTTGTACAGTACATACACTGTACGATACAGTACAGTACTGTAGCCTGTTTCTCTTCTTTTAGTGAGTCCCTGCTTGTACTGTACAGTACAGTACAGTACAGTACAGTACTGTATACAGTACTGTAGCGCTGGTCATCATGTACTGTAGCATATTCGTATCAATCACTTGATATACCGTATTGTGGCTGCGCAGTAAGAGGAATACTTACGTAGCGAAGTAAATTTATTCTCAATCGTCTCCTTACCAGCTTTATTTGATACCAGACGTCAATACTGCCATGTCGTCACCATCTCCAGGGAAGAGACGCATCGATACGGATGTTTTAAAGCTGTATCCTTACGAATTTACGTTGATCATTTCAATTCGAATAGTCATGGCCAACTCTGCGATAGTATGATTACATTATTGTGGAATAAAAATATACAGTAGAGTACACTAAAGTAAAGTTTGTCAATGTCAAGTAACGTTATGATTTTTCATAAATATTTCAATTGAGATTGTTTTCCTTGAAATTTTTTTTTGTTTTATGATGTCGTTACTTTGCATTACTTACTATTGGAATTTTTACAGTTTACTTGCTGATTTTATCCGTTATCCGTTTTTTTTAACAATGGTTCATCCATTTTAAACTGTATTTATCCTTAACCAGTAATGTATATTAGTATCGAAAGCAAGTACGAAGTTCATATACTAAATGGGATCAATGACTTCTGGGTGAAGTTTCACGGCCCGTCCGGCAGTAAGTACAATATATTTCAGTATGATGATTTTAGTAGAAAGTTTGATAGTGACAAACACAGGAGAAGTTCTAGCATGGAATTGTTGGATATAGGATAATGTATCTACATGTATCATTGCTCAATTTTTCTGTGATAACCATTTTAACTTGCTAATGCTTTAAATATTGTTCGCTGAATATGTGTATCACAGGATGTTTTTATGCCAATTTTATATTATCTGATACATATAATTATCTCCTATTGAACTGCGGCACTAAAGACTGAATGATTGTGCTCGGACTGGTACTCGATGGGCACATTCCACTATCGGCGATGTTCAATTAGACCTGACCTGACCCTAACCCTAACAGTTCAATACGCGTCACAGTACAGTTGTAGCTGAAGCAACTGCGATACGGTATCAGGGGTAGGGTGAAGAGCAGTAGGAACAGCCTACAGTATGAAGTCAATCATGGCTTCAACTCTCGTAACACGTCGCCGTCCGTTTTTTATCATTTCCTTTGTAGTGTAGTGTATGGTACAAGACGTCCTGCTGTGGCCGCAAACTATTGTTCAGTGCTGTACCATACATTGACCTTCATGACCAGGACTGACTGACTAAAAATGGCAAGATTCGCTATCCACAGTAAACATCCATCAACAGTAGACAAAGTGCAATACAAGATCATATTATTACATGTTGTGCGCCGCTACAATAACTGTCCAAAATACGCCCTTTGCTTAGTACTGATCACGCTACTATACTACTATAAATTCTCTAGTATAGTACAGTACGGTATTATCGGTATCAAACACACCGGCATTGAGCACCCAGATGTTGACATTATCCATTTTTATTTGACCACTCTTGAAGTAGCAAACCTTGCAGTTATTTGTTAAATTTCGAGGACTTTGCCTTCGAATTCTAATTAATTAATGAAGGGAATGTACGGCTAGTCATAATTGAGCGTTTTTTTCTCAATATGATTGCCGTTTTACTGCAGCATGGATATCTTCTACATTGATACAATTTTAGAAATGTTGTGAGATTCCAACGAACTCCGGTGGTACCCTCACTATGAGTTGGCTATGATACGTATAGATAAATAGTATAATCAACGGAAATACAAAACTGTAACCCAAAATTGAGTAGTTTTGACCTATAGAATAATCTAGATAGATAGACTGTAATATTCCATGCATTTTACTCCATCAGATTGAGTCAATCGAGTAACACGTTTATTGTAACAGCTGCAGTCTACTTGGTATAATGCTTAATTATTCTGAATTTCCTTGATTACTGCAAATATTGAGATTGAACTGAGCTTCAATTTATATGGATACAGACTAGAATCTACGGTATAGGATGGCTTACACCTGCTCAAAGGGTATTGTATCGCATTATTCTGGATAGTGGAAAGTGATAATGCTTGCGTCAGGGCGTTGTAATCGACGCATAATTTTTCTCATTTTTCATCTGCATTCGACAACAATGTCATGAGGACTTGATCAGTCGTTTTTGGAAATATTTTCAAGCTCTTAAGTACCAATTCAAAGGTCATCTGTTTACTTTTACTGACGTGATACTAAAAAAAGTAAAGTAAACTGCTTGCTATCTTACGCTGATGAGGGTATATTCCAATGTGATATACTATACTGTTGCGTTGACACCTTTTTGGCTAGCGTTCAATTTGTTATTGCATGAGCTAGGTACGTTACTTTGATACTCAAACTAATTTCTACAGATACTTTACGAGTACTTTGATCTCCCAATAGAATAGAATCATAATTAAGGAGATAAACTTCAACACTGATAGATTACCAAAGATACCCTACATCAGGACTATACTATTTCACTACGATATTATCATCATACTTACATGATATACGATTATGCATATACTGTACAGTACCTTGATGTAGCCACTTGTCGGTATCTAAATAATTCAGTACGATGAAAACAAGGAAGTAATCACCACGTTGATTGTGCGCAACTGTATATCAATGCCATGCGATCTGGGCGAAAATAAAAGTTATTGTAGTACTTATTATTCTGTGCTTTCATCTTGAACATACAGTAGCTTATAGTTTGGGTATACAGTATATAGGGATTTGTTGGCCTATAAGTTGCATTTATTCGAATCTATGTGGCATTCTGTTCTTACTATAATGAGATCCGTGCGAATGTCATGCTAGATACACTATACGCTGAGATTTAAAATTAAGTTAGTTTAAATTTAAACTTTAAAGATAGATACCATCCAGTTATACATTTCATCGTGGCTATTTCGTTAGCCTGAAAACGAGTAAAACATCAGTGATATGGACAACGGGAAATACAAATTATTTCTTATCGGATAGACTCATACGTGCATATCTAGTAGTTCGTAGTTGAACAGACAGATTTGGTGCTTAAATTGTAAAATTTTAATAGATGCTATTATTAAGTTGATAAATTGCTTAAGACTGCAAAATGAAGTAATGCTTTACCAATCACTAACATACTATATATATATATATATTTTCATTTTTTAGCACCATATGAAGGAGGCGTATGGAAAGTGCATGTTTTACTACCAGAAAGTTATCCTTTTAAATCTCCGTCCATAGGTAATGTCTTAGATATATATATCGATGTCATGATTATGATATATTTTAGCTTTGAAACATGGTAAAAAATATCTTAAATGCATAAAAGCTAATTACAATGTACAGTACTTTCACACCATAGTTTTGTACTACTCAATAGTCGTGTTACAGGAGGATGATCTGTTGTTCCAATAATACGAAAGTTGTTATTACTTGACTTTAAGAAATGATAGCTTGACAGTACACTAATTTTAACTGTTACCTATATTTCATCTATCTTAGATCTCAATATACCCTTTTACTTATTGTTACAATAATAATCATCTTATTAATTATAAATATTTATATTTATCCTTAGGTTTTATGAACAGAATTTATCACCCTAATATTGATGAATCGTAAGTGAAATGAGTATTTTGTGTATGCTGCTATAATTCCCATATACAGTTATTATTGAATAAATCAGATTAAATCTCACATCTAGTGGCTTTATAGATAATACCACTGTTTAGATTTAAAAGTTAGCGGGGTATACAGTATATATTTATAATTTATGCATCAATCTAGAAACTACACTTGAAGATAATCTTCAGTTGATAGTATCGGCAATATAATTATTGTAAGATCATAAATTGATTTTTACACTTCCTACTTAAATTATGTCTCTGAATCTTCTAACATTAGTTATAACGGTCTTTTATTGACTGTTATATCGTATTCATGAAGTTGAACCGTCGGGATAGTTTTATCCTAAGCTTTAAATTACATTACTGCATGGTTAATTAATTAATTAATTAATTGTAAAGTTATAAAGAATGATGATATCTATTTGGAATAATATTCCTTCTTTATTACACTTTTCTGTCAACTTGTCATTAGTGTATGGATTAACGTATAATGCATAACAATACTAAAAGTGCTATATGTGCATATCAACCTGCTAAACTAGTTGTGAAGTGATAATATTTAAATTACTGAAGAAGTAATTGTTATTGTATAAATCTCTTAGTAATACTGGCTCTTGATATTTTAATTATTATTTCGTAAAGGTCAGGAACAGTTTGTTTAGATGTAATTAATCAGGAGTGGACGGCTCTATACGGTAAGTCGGCTCACCTTTTATGTTGGTTGCAATGATAAAAGATATTACAATTTTTTATATTGAAGCGCAATTTAGTGTAGATATCTATTCGTCAAGATATTATTAATTGGCTTGCTAGTACGTAAATTTTATTTTTAAGCTGTTTACCTTGCGGTAGTATCAGATAATAATACTCACCCTAATTAATATTATTTTCACTATTTTCTGTATTTCTAAACACTATAATCTATAAAAAATGGTGATGTTTTTAAAATTGCAGACCTATCAAATATTTTTGAAACATTCCTACCACAATTACTCGCGTATCCTAATTCAAGCGATCCATTAAATACTGAAGCTTCTCGATTACAAATGCATAAGCCAGAAGAATATTTTAATAAAGTTAATGGTAATGTATCATTTTTTTAAAGCTTCGCTTATTATTCCATAATATATAGCGTATTGATATACTGACTCAATTGTTGCTATACTCTTTTTTCAGAGCATGTAAAGAAATACGCATCTGAAGAAGCTTTTCGAGGCACAGATGTACGATCCTATATTAACGCAGACGAAGAATCATCTAGTGAGAGCGAGTTATCTGATTTATCAGAAGAAGATGAGGCACAAGACATGGAACTATAGCTGTTACTCAAAGGACAAAATATATATATATAGAATTTGATTGTTATTATAATTATGACCATTATTATTACTAATATTATTATTATTTACTATAGTGCCGGTACTGTTAACAATTATTGTATCTAGCAAAGTTCTATGATGTATTTGATTGTGGTTAGGATGTAAAATGTTACTGAATCGCATGATGGCTAACTCATTTTTTCGACTAGTAATGAATGCACGTTAGCCATGTTACCTAACTGTCTTCGATATTCTTAATTGATTAAGTAGAATATAAGCTATGGAAATTCAGATATAGATTAATTTAATAATCTATACATATAGTAACGATGAAAATTTTGTCTGTTTTATTTTAACGATCTCAATCCTGGTCTACGATTTTTGTTGATTTACTATAATAATCCTAAGTTGTAATAATTAATAGATATTTTTAATCTCTCTTTATTCATTTTTAAATTGGCTCTCGTACTCATGTAAGTAATTATCCAATACCTACTTTATATTCAAATTTTTCGAATTGGTTGGTGTACATGTTTCCAGACGTGTTATTTTTTGGCTAAGCGTGTATATTGGATTACGGTGCAGTAATCGTGCTTATGTCAAATGCTAACTTATGGGTGTTAGCTCCTCTGGTGTTTCTACTGATATTAACTAGCGGTACACATGTCCTTAATTTTCTCGTGTTATGTTTGTTACTGTATTGTTTGATCCATGATTTTGTATACTGTATCTATTATTATATTGCAACAATTTGGCACATGTAGCTGTGAACTTTTGAATATTTCTTTGCTATGAAGGACAATTGTAGTCTGTATTTATTACAGGCATTATAGGTATAGATGAATGTACTAACATTTATTAACTAATTTTAGATTGAATATATTGGTGTAAAGCAATAACTTACATAATTTCAGTACTTGTCATAAGAATGCTGACAATTATTATTGTTCATCTTAATAGTGCAAATACTATTTGTCGCACAAGCTTAATTATTAATTCTGGCCAAAGACGTGATTTGCATAAATTAAGTTTTCTTTACGTATACTTACTTCTAGCTCACGCTTTACTGGAACTTGTAAGCCTATTATGTGTATTAGCTCCAATTACATCTGTTGTTCTGAATCAGTTCACTGTATAAGTTGTGCATTGGTTAAGCTTATTGTACAATATCGGTCGTGCTCAGATATTAGCACGGCTGTATGTTGGTTGTAGCGTATTAATAAATTTATTCAATAAAGAGTATCTGCAACATTGTTATCGAAACACATATTTATCATGCCAATTATAATAAGGTCACTTAGAAAAGATTTATGTTTCCATTCAAAATTGATGTTTACGACAATGTATGCAAACGGGTACTACTTTGCATTACAATTTTATTTCATCTTATCCGTCGAGAGATATAAGAGATGGTAAATCAGAAGAAATACATGGTATATCGTATATGAATATAAAACAAAAAATTTTCAATCAGTTAGTCAAGCTAAAGGGTATTCCAATACTACAGTAGACTTGGTATATTTGAGAGTAAGATAGTTTCCGATATGTCGTTGCTTCTGCTACAATTTTAATAAGTCAGTTGATAAAATCTAGTCAAATGTATGTTATAGTTATACCAGTATCTAAATGTTTACGTACAGTAATATCATATCAACCTGATCAGAATATTCTGGAAGTCACTTACTAATAACAAGTCAATAACTACCTTAGATACTCGTACATAACCGAGAGTCTACTTAGGTAAGGATAGGAAGTACATTGTACATTTAGTAGCATATTTTTGTAATTATAAAAGTTTTGGAAGGTGTACTTTGCCGCTCACAAAAGGAATATACAGTAATATGGCAGTGACAGTTTGAGCGACATAATGCTCTATTTTTCAAATAGAACGCTTCTTAACGAAGGTGATCTGTATGCTTCTGAAAACTACAGCTTGATTGAGTGTTATAACGATCAGTGGGTCTCATATTCTTTCCAACGAGCCTTTCCTTGATACATATGCCAAGCTTTATTAAAGTGACCGATCAAATGATTCGGCAAATGAAGTTGCAACATGCTTTTTGTAGCTGGAGTATGGAAATTGGTTCTGATAGCTCTTGTAATCGAATTAACTGTGCATTCTTGAAGGGATGGGACAGTTAGCCAGCATCGCAAGAATGACGAAGAGCGGGTAACCTCTCTGTCACACAAGAAATTAAGATATCAGTTACTTGGACATAGTAGGAAGCAAGCTTCGTCATTCGTAGAAACTTGTATCACGCTATGACTAGTCGATACTTTACCGTGTCTCATCGTTAGGGATACAGCCACCATGTATAAATAGACATCCAGACTAGCGAGAATAGTTCATTTTAAAGAATTAATAACGTGAAAGCTATTAAAACTGTACTCAAATCAGCCAATTAACGAAAGATAATATTTAGAGTTTAGAATCTACAGCCAAGAAAGTTCTTACTTCCTGACAACAATATAATTAGTGTATCGTGAATATCTACTTACTGAATTATCGCTTCGGAGTGACCTCTGTAACGCAATAGCATGAAAAAACATTGCATCCGGTAAGGTTATGTCTAATTTTGACCATTGAAAATTGATTACATCAAGTACCCAGAAGTCATCAAAAGCGGTTCGTTCATTGAAGCCTCCGCACATATAGATCCCTAAAAGTCGTCCAGAGTAAAATAATATTTCATATTTTTATAATAGCTACATCGAGTGAATTATATAACAACTTTACTTTTATTAAATAAGACGCAGCCATGACAACATCTAGGTTCAGGAAAATCTAACGAAATATGTAACATAAAGGATAATAATTAGAGCGATAATAACACCATCGGCAATTTGAAAGGAAAGCTTACCAAATGATATAGAAGGTATACACTTGTGACTCTTCCACTGCAAGGAGTCGTAATGAAAGCTATGTATCTACCATAGTATCAGTTTTAATTTGATAGTGAGTTCTTCATTTAAATTATACATGATCAATTAAACAAAGATTACATAACTTAATTATGATATTTCTGTTATTGCACCTCCTCAAAACTCATATAAGAACCGAGTGTCGCTCCTCCGAGGATATAGAAGCATTCTTCGTCACCGACAACTTCATGCCGATATCTGTGATAGCACAAAAGCAATTTGGAATTATGTAAATTAACTTTTACCTGATTTTACTGTTAGTGTTAAATTACAACGTATGGATTTTACTATGACTATACGAGCATGTTTGTTTTTTTGGAACCTTTCAGAAGGTGTATTCACAACATGTGGCATTCTTTCAAACACATAATCTTTGCGACGAAACCGATACAGATCATCATGAAAGGTTAGACCGGTAGTTCCACCAAAAATGTAGATGTAGCCATCATTTCCTTTAATCATGCTCTTTATAATGTTATAGATAAAATAAAAATGTGTATGAGAATTATACATACTTCATAAGTATGATACAATACCATCAAGTTAAGAGAGATGATTTTATAGCGGTATCTACTGCTAACATTTTAGATAATGGATTTTATTGGCTAGCAAAGTATACAAGGCATTAGTTGATATCACATATTGTTAGAAATATCACCCAGTTTAACAAATATTAAAAAAGTAAAGCGCGTAGACTCAATTTAGGTTTTCTTTTAAATATTTATCATAAATGTACTACAAATATCATTGGATGTGGCTTCAACCTTCAGGATATTAACACATAATCAAGAGTCATCTAACGTGAATTAGTACGATAAATACTCTCAAACCTGTCCATATCGTGGAGACGGGGTTGCATTTTTACATTGTATTTTTCGCCAGATCTTCTCCTTAAGGTTAAGTGTATGCAGGATATTGCTGTTGCATCTTCCAAATGGCACTTTATTACAACACGTTTTAAAGGTAGAATATAAATGGATCAATAGTAAGTAATTGTAAAGTCAAATCAGCGTCGATAATTGCATTACGTCTAGGTTAAGTGGATCATTATTACATGAGAACTAAAATATTATTAAAATATTTTATAACATGCATGAAAGCATTTATTCGTTTCTGGATAGTAGCATATACAAACATACGTCCAGATCCTCCAAAAACCATTAAGGTATCACCATCTATTATCACTATAAAAATCACCAATATTAGTTATAGAAAAAACAGTAAAATGGCCTTGACATATCACTAAGCTACAGATCACAGTAAATAGCACAACAAAAGCATTGACTATGCCTGATTATACGTTTACTTACTCGCATAGATCGAAATTACTGTATTTGCATGACGATATTGACAATATACTGTAATGTCAAAAGCACATTATTGGCTAGTGAGATATACTTCATACATACTTGATGCAGAAGCAACACAATTTGGTGGATCACCATCAGTCTCAAGCATGCTCCATGTATTAGTAATTATGTCATATTCCCAAACCTATATTTATCGAAAATAATAGTATTAACCACGACAGTATAAGCTTTTAAATGAGTACGGTAGAATAAGTGAACTCAGATAAACAATAAATTTTTATCATAAAGTGTTACGAGTTGCTGTATCCATGTTGTACTCTTACTAATACATATACAGTGTAAGACAAACTCATTAATTAGAAGCTGCCAAAACGCAGACAGCAAAGTTAAATTAATGTACTTACGAGCATGATAGCCCTACCTACAAGTGTTTAAGACAAACATAGACGAATAATATAGCCATCGATCAATTTACTGCATACTACCATTTATGCTTTTGAAAATCTGTAATATTGTACATGATAGTACGCATATACAGTAGAAAAAATGTAGCTCTAACTCTTCATTAGGCATTCATCTCATTGCGAATATCTTTTTATGTCTTTTTTTCAGCAATTTAATAATTTCACGAACCTCCTTATATAGAACATCAACCGGTCGATACCCTCCAAATAGGTAGATTTTGGTTGCTGTCGCTACCATTCTATGCCCACTGCGTCTTCCCGGCTGTAGATCTAAAAAGAAAATTTTTAAACTGTTTTAAGTGTCTTGTATATCAACGCACGAACTAACATCTCCATAGAGACTAGTAATTATAGAAGTTCGCTGATTATTCGATTGATGAGATATCAATTATCTGATTAATGGATCTAACGTTGGAGATTGTAACGGTTTTATGTCAAGTCTTTATTTGAGCGCCTGTCCTGCTCCTTACTCTTACACATGCAACAACACCAACTGGCCTTTTATCTAGTGATTATATAAGTCGTATATCAAACGTTATCATACTGTACTATCTATCCCTAATACCTTAATACGATATTCATATCTAAAGCATATCAAGTCATAAGCAACACATTTTATACTATGTACCACATGAATGCACATACAATGATGTATACCGTCACAGAGATAGGAAAGTTATGATATATACTCTCCATTGACTGCTAAAAGGCGCTATATAATAACATTAAAATTATTTCTAGACTCAGTTAATAAATGAAGGTGCTCAGTAGAAAGAAAATGGAGCACTTCCATACTGCTCTAATGAAAGTCAGTGAAAGCATAATTCTAGGGATGATCGCTAGTCAGATTAGTTATAATATTAGGGTAGTTTTGATAACGTTATGTACCGCTAGCTGATACTTGAGCCTACAGTACTACATACTCCACTTTGCAATAAATAGGGCAATCAAAAATAATGGATCATGCTACAATGGATTACACACTTTATTGGAAGATAGCGTTTTCTTATATAAAGTTTTGATATTATTTCATTGGTATGTCACTTTAGTTACCAACACTTGGACTAATTATATAATTACACATCCATTACCTTATATAATGTACCTAGGCGTGAGAATACAGATATATTGCAGATGTGTGTAGGTGTAGTATGGGAAAGAGAATCATTTGGTACAATACAACATCGTAATGCCTAGGACAGGTTTTATTTCCTGTGCACAGATATTCCGTCAAAAGGGTAATAGATAACTAGTCGTCTACAGTAGTATAGAGAAATTCTCCTTTGATGTAGAAAATGATCTAACTAAAAGTTGGTATTACGTATATACAATGAACAAAATTTGGCCTTTTTATCTTAAGTATTGGCATCAGAGACGCAATCATGGCATTCTATGGTAGAACAATATACAAGATATTAATTAACATAGAAGAATTGTACTAGTCTATTGCAACAGTAATTCTGTAATTGTTACAATATATGTACAGTTTTGTAGTAAAATTAAGAAAATGAGTAGCATGAATTTTCAGTTGTTTAAATTTTTTATAAGGTACCTTTGCTGTTTATTCTATTCATAACGTGTAAAAAGCAATAGCAAATATCTTGGGATTATGAATATAGGCCTGATTTTCAATACTTAAGCAAAACCAATACTATTAAGCAGAATTTTGATTGCGATTTGGTTATCGTGATTGATTCTACAGTATACGCGTACAATCAGGTTATAATTAAGTTACGACAGGGGAGGGAGGATAAAAAAATCTGCAAAGCGTTAAAATACTCTTAATGGTGTATGATTTCGATCTGGCTTTGTCAAAGCGAATATTTCATCATCAATCACATCAAACCTTCCTACCCTATCCTAATCCTTGCACGATGGCCATGTCTAGTAGAATAGGGTAAAAACTTGACGTACTGTAACTCTGTAAGTAAGAGAACTGTAGAATGCTAAAGTACACATTTAGATAAACAATGATCACGATGATTGAATGTACGATGTGGAGAAAGTAGCGAGAGAACACTTTACTACGTTGTTGCTGAATTTTCATTTTTTTTAGCGTTTAGCCTTGAGATTTGATACTATACAGTAGTATAAATAAATCAGTTATTAGGAGAAATTGGCTGAAGATACTATGGATACTATAATATGTACGTTGACGTCCATTTCAACTGGGTAGTTAAGGTTATAAAGTCTAAAGTCTGTGTCGGTGCCGGGTGACAGATTGACTTGAAGATGTACTGCCATGGTAACTACAATAGTATTGACTTCTATGTTGATCAGTATTCCTAAATACTGGATTTTCCCAGTAGTTTTGCTATTCATAGTAGGCTAGAGAATATCATCAGTTTCTGGTCATTGAATAAAATCAAGACGTTATTTTTGAAATGTTCAACGCAATAGAAGAGCCTATGTACATTACAATTTTAACGGCAGTAACGGTAAAAGTGCACGATGTTGCACTTAAAGTACCAGTTTACCTGTATGGATAAGGGTAACCTCGGTTGGCATCTTGAACTACCAGTTGAAAGCGATGAATCCTGTCACTGTCTCTATTTTATCATTGATTGAGTAAGATTTAAGAGCAGTTTACCTTGCTGAAACAATAATAATATTACTGTAAAATTGGCAAGAAGAAATGTTGTTTAAATGGCTGTCTGTCGCTGCTTCCGTCTGATAGCGCAGTTGGTAGACCACTTTGAAGTGCCCCTATCCAAGCTTTCACCAAAGCAACTGAACAGGAAATCGATGGGCTATTATGCACTGTAGCTGTAGCGCGATATCGATACGCGTACAGTGCATCGAGCATCATGATTTGACTGACAGTGCTCGAGTTTCCTCTTCGCTTTACAGACTGCACTGTACAGTATACAACTACCGGCAGGACGGACGTTCGTTGCTCAACACAGGTATTGTTGTACACTAGCCCTGGTTAAAATACTGTACAGTGCAGACTATGGGCTAAGATATTGGCGGAATACCAAGAAGAAACCTCACAAATTGCAGATGGAGGCTGGAAGGGAAATTTTAGTTGTACACTAGCCCAGGTTAAAATACAGTGCAGACTATGAACTACGATATTGGTGGAATAGTAAGAAGAAACCTCAAAAATTGCAGATGGAGGCTGGAAGGGAAATTTTAGTTGTACACTAGCCCAGGTTAAAATACAGTGCAGACTATGAACTACGATATTGGCGGAATACCAAGAAGAAACCTCACAAATTGCAGATGGAGGCTGGAAGGGAAATTTTAGTTGTGCACTAGCCCAGGTTAAAATACAGTGCAGACTATAGACTACGATATTGGCGGAATAGTAAGAAGAAACCTCAAAAATTGCAGATGGAGGCTGGAAGGGAAATTTTAGTTGTACACTAGCCCAGGTTAAAATACAGTGCAGACTATGAACTACGATATTGGCGGAATACCAAGAAGAAACCTCACAAATTGCAGATGGAGGCTGGAAGGGAAATTTTAGTTGTGCACTAGCCCAGGTTAAAATACAGTGCAGACTATAGACTACGATATTGGCGGAATACCAAGAAGAAACCTCACAAATTGCAGATGGAGGCTGGAAGGGAAATTTTAGTTGTACACTAGCCCATTAATGGAATTGAAATTACGGTTATTAAAATGAAATTATTTGGCAGATTTTGAAGTACAGTTGCGAAGTTGGCGGCAATTGCGCTCAAATTATGTTTACAATATCCAGTACAGTGTAGACGGCATGCTATACAAATAGTTTTAGACGAGGAGGAATAACGTACTTGAAATGTTGGTACTAGAATGTTCTGGATTGGAACACAGCATGGAAAATTGGCTTGGACACAACTTGAATTTCGCTTTGATTTAGCTGTCATCTCATGCAGAGCTCCATAGATGTATAATGTACACGTACTCTACCTTCAGTGCACCTATGATTTGTTTATCAATGAAAAAATAATTTATTAACTACAGTAACTGCACAACTTTGGATGTGCAAAGTAGATCTATTACTTCCATATCTCGTGCATGAACTCGGAACAAATACACAATAAAATCGAAGTCTACAGCTTGTAAACAGTACTCCTTCATTAAAATAACGGTACTGTGCAGTAATGCAAAACGTTGACAAATGACAATTTGTGCAAAAAACATTTACCACCATACAATAACAAGAACATGCACGGAGTTGGAGCTCAACATGCTCTCCATCATAGCGCTTCCATCGTTGGACGCTTAAAGTGAAATCTTCATTAACATCATATAGTATTATCTGCGCAATAGTGCGCAGATTTCATTCTATACAAAATTTTAAAATACACAAGTCCTCACGGCAATCGCGATGATAGACCAGTTGCTAAAGGTAACCTCAAAGAAAGTAATGACATGGAGTGACTGTAGTTCGTAAATGAGGTCATATGAGTGAGCGACATCGTTTTTGCTTAAGGCAACCTCAAAGAAAGTAATGATAGGGAGTGGCTGTAGTTCGTAAATGAGGTGATGATGAGCGAGCGACATCATTTTTGCTTACGATACGTTGCTTAAGGTAACCTCAAAGAAAGTAATGACATGGAGTGAGTGTAGTTCGTAAATGAGGTGATGATGAGCGAGCGACATCATTTTTGCTTACGATACGTTGCTTAAGGTAACCTCAAAGAAAGCAATGACATGGAGTGACTGTAGTTCGTAAATGAGGTCATATGAGTGAGCGACATCGTTTTTGCTTAAGGCAACCTCAAAGAAAGTAATGACGTGGAATGGCTGTAGCTCGTGGATGAGTGAGCGACATCGTTTTTGCTTACGATACGTTGCTTAAGGTAACCTCAAAGAAAGTAATGACATGGAGTGAGTGTAGTTCGTAAATGAGGTGATGATGAGCGAGCGACATCATTTTTGCTTACGATACGTTGCTTAAGGTAACCTCAAAGAAAGTAATGACATGGAGTGAGTGTAGTTCGTAAATGAGGTGATGATGAGCGAGCGACATCATTTTTGCTTACGATACGTTGCTTAAGGTAACCTCAAAGAAAGTAATGACATGGAGTGAGTGTAGTTCGTAAATGAGGTGATGATGAGCGAGCGACATCATTTTTGCTTACGATACGTTGCTTAAGGTAACCTCAAAGAAAGTAATGACAGGGAGTGACTGTAGTTCGTAAATGAGGTCATATGAGTGAGCGACATCGTTTTTGCTTAAGGCAACCTCAAAGAAAGTAATGATAGGGAGTGGCTGTAGTTCGTAAATGAGGTGATGATGAGCGAGCGACATCATTTTTGCTTACGATACGTTGCTTAAGGTAACCTCAAAGAAAGTAATGACAGGGAGTGACTGTAGTTCGTAGATGAGTGAGCGACATTGTTTTTGCTTACTGTACTGTACTGTACAGTACGTTATTTACTTTTTACAATCCATAATACTGTAGTCTACAGTACTGTACTGTACTGTAGATGCTACAGTGTAGAGGTAAAAGAAAAATTGTAGACAGTGATTCTTAGACCTATGGCTTGTGGCATACGGTTCTAGTAGTCCATGCCTGTGGTAAGCGTACCCAAATCTTACTACCCTCGAATCTACAGTACAACATACTGTACATGATTTAGACTGTAACGGAACCCAACCCATAGGTGACATCATCATAACTCAACATCAACGGAGTAAATGCTCGTTTACAAACAAGTGAGCGAAAGGCAAGTCGCTACAGCTTAAATGGCTACTGGCATCAATTTCTTCTGGTTGTGAAAATTCAACCAATCCTACAAGAGTACAACTTTTCAAGGCACAGCTTTAATTGGCCAGTATTACTAGAAAAAGAGCGCTTGCTGAAGGTAAAATAAAAGAGGAAAATAAGGTAAAAAAGCGATAAGAAATCCATAGTGATGATCATAAATGAGAATGAGATTGAGAATGATCGATCATCATTCATGAACTGACCAACACACTCAAGTTGAGCAATTACCAAGAAAGCAAATGGAAATTGCTATAGTACAAACCCAAGTCATCCATGGAATCCATTGCACTGACAAGATCGTGTTGTTGTAGTGCTGTAGAGGCAAATAGGATACAAACACATTAGGATGATTTTGCTTAAAGTCGGTAGATGGACGGCCACCTTCCATCGCCAAAAGACGATCGGTGTAGTGTCTTGTTTACCCTTGATCAAATAGGACAATCGGACCTGCTTGAGTCAAAGCGTTAACATTATCCATCATGATTGAAGTAATCAGAGCACTACTGTAGTTGGTAACTGTAAATCAAACTTTCATCACTACATTGAACAATTTCCTCTGGGCGTGATGGACACTGAGTTCACTACGCGCTACGTACAATGATGACCAGGAAGATATTGCGGTATGGTAGTAGTCTTCAGATAGTCCATCAAAGCTGCTCATGTTGTTTTACTGCAATCACCGAAATGATTCCCTATCTATCGCTCAATAATCAATGGGCCTCTTTGCAGCCAAATAGATATGTGTAAGCATTAAAATATCAGGCAATGCCGTACAATCCAATCATGTAGACTATTGCAATCAATTGAATCGCTTACTGTTCAAGCTCATTAAAGACATGGAGGTCGGCTTCAAGGTGCCGCCTTCTGTGTGCCAATAATGATTGATAAATAAGGTGACATATGCAACCCTACAGTACACCAACATTGATGTGATATCCACTTTTCTCAGGAATGGCGCCTCCTGTTTGTAAATAGTTCTCTACATACTAGCAATCAACCATGATACATTGAAAAAAATAACTTTTATTGCTTCGTCATCAACCATTCACGATTGCTTCTGCTTGTCTACCACGATGACAAACTAGGCGTTGGGGTTTCCTTGATTATTTGAAACAGGTACCAACGTTTTTAGCTAGTCACATAGTTGAACGATATCGCTACTTTCATTATAAATTGTAAAAGCGACTTTATGTGCTTAGCAAAACTGCTTGAATGGATAGCTTACAAAGATAAATTAGACAGCGTTACTAATGCTAGAATAGTTTTAATAGTTCTGCCAGTATTAACAAATTCCTCAAATTGAAAGGTTAACTGGACGGTAAAGACCGTAAAATACTTCTAAACATAGAGAAAAAATAAAATTATCCACATTGTACAAGTAAAATGAGGCTCATAGCAGTTACGATCTTTGACCTAACTTTCTTACATAGTACCACTTGACAAGGTGATATCATGCTGAATAACTAATTTTTTTAAATGTTATAGCAGGTAAGATCCAAGAAAATTCCAAAGAACCATCTGGATTAATTATAATTAGCAGATATTGTAACTGTAATCAAGGATCTTGACCAAACAAAATATGGCTACTATAGCCAATGTCAGCGCCAATATTACTCGATCTTCTTGTGAATGGATACTAATATATGAAGTTGGTGGCAAGTGAGTGCAGACAATCGTAAATAAAAACGTAATAATTTGGCAACATATATCCAAGTTTTATTATACTCTAATTATGAATTAAATTATTAGTGTAGGACCCTAGTACTCAATCACGTTATTTGTCGATCAATAAATTATAATTAGCTTTAATATTCATTGAGTTGATGTAATGTCTTTCTTTATGACTTGCTGCAAATTCCATAACTTGGCTTTGGTCACTAATTTATTTCATCATTACGGTATAATAACTTTAGGCCGTCTTGTATTATACAAATTTTCTCACCCAAATCTATTACTATAGATGATAGTTCATCAATACTGTATTCTTTTTATAACCAATGTATATACTGTAGATCGATCGAATAGTTATACGCGCAATGATACAACTATCAAACACACTATTTTATATTTACCATCATTGTATGCTATAATACAGCCATACTTTTTCTGTAAAGTAATAAATCATCTCATTACATTAATTGATGTAGCGTCAACCTCTATAAATCCCTTTGAATACATTAGCTTGACTTTGATCATCAATTCAAATTCGTGTATTAGCTTTATGATCGCCTTGGTGTTATAATATCGCTGTTATAAACTGAATCGAATATAACTCGCATAGAGTAGCAGATACCGTATCAGAGCGTTGTTTATAAGCTACAGCTACTTGATTATAGAAATTGTTGCACGCGTATGTGATCAATGATACCAGATTGCTATCATGATAGTTGCTTAACCTTTATGTAAAGCATTAATACTCATTCTGATAGGAAGTACCGATATAGAATTTATGATCTAAAAAATCATAAAGCTACTAATTTTGTACTAACTTATTCACCTAACTATCTCGTGATTGAGATTGATCATCATTTGCTCTCTCTGGATTATTTTTCATTATAAAGGGTGAGGCTGTGGGATATCTTGATGCTAGTTCCTAGCGGCCTATTTCTAGCTTTTCTACTTCTAAAGTTTCGATTTGCTCATCGCCGTTTAAAATCCATGAGAAGTCCAATCTTTTCGACTTTCTTTGGCATGGTAAAGTTTACAAATTATCTTTTGTGTGCAATTGATTACTCAAAAATATATCTAATAAGTCTTTTATATTGTTCATCTAAAATCTATTTGTATTATGTTACTTAGGTAATGATGGTTGCATGCGCTAGTGTTGCTAGATGCGTTGTTTCCATGACTGTTTCTAGTTCTGGAGTTGGTTATATAGCTGATAAGGTTAGTCTAACAATTAATTGATAGTAATTCTACATGTATCATCATTGGGTATGATTACGATTCGCAGTTGACATTTTAGAACCTTACCCATGGCCATATTTTATCAATTTCTACAATTAGTCAAATATGGTAGTGTAAAGTATAAAATCTATTCTGCAATAACGTAAAGCTAAGCGATACACCCTTGCCAACTTTCTTTGTGTAACAGATACTGTGGCTAATTGTTCGATTCTTGTTACTGGTCGTTGAATTGAGTGTCATCACATTTGGGTTAGCATTTGGTAAGTTATTACCTGCATTATCGTTTATATAATGAGCACTAATTTTTACGCGGTATATTCCCTAATATATCTGTTATTAATAGCTGTAGTTATAGAATATAAATGATTACTAAAGTTTTTATAGACGTAGCTCTTGAGGCAACAAAGGTAAAATTTTTTTACCTGCTTTAGTCTACTGTGGATATAAATAAACATTTAATTATATAAGGTTATATTATCGTCATGCAGTGTTAAATCCTTTGGCTTATGCCTTCTAAATTTTCATTTTAAATTACAATTATTCATAAATTTCACTAATAGTAAATCAATGCAACCATAAATCGCATCAGATATTAAGCACATTTAATTATCTTCGAATAGGTCATTTAGATAGTCGTGAGAGCATAAAGAGAGTTCTAATTGTAACAGCTCTTATTTCACTGGCTTTTTCTACCACACAGGTACTGTTACATTTGAAGCATTTATTATCAACTTAATACAATTCATAAATACCTCAATTTAGGGATAAGTGTGTGTAGTTTGCGTAACTTTGTCATCAATCTGTAAAAATTTAATTAACGTCACTTATTAATACTAGTTATTGGAATTGAAGATGTTTGTTTCTGTAACTTAATACTATCGAAATTAAAATTAGTTGCACTTAACGTTGATCATGTAGGGTGTTTTTGAGTTCCTGTACCATAGTACTTATGACGTTAATATCCACGTTGGTAAAAAATACCCCTTTTTCGCCCACGGAGGAATGGATTTTTGGTTTGGATACTCTAGCTTCTTCTTTGCGGTAATCACCTTTTAATGTTGCCGACGTATATGCCTGTAATGCATAATGATTAACCCTTTTTAATTAATAATTGCTAGGCTTATCTTTTCATTTTTTTGCTACCTTATACATCTGCTAGCCAACGATGGGCATTACCAAGTAAGCTTCTGTAGATAATTATTTATTGATTACCTGTTTAACGGTTTCTCTATCTGGACGTGGATTAGTGTTTATTAATGGATTGCAACTACTTTGTACTTATGCTAGGTAAAAGGTCCTTCTATGTTTATGTTATGTCCTTATCAATGCTGAATTTAGTCCAATCAATTGGTTGTTGCTTGCTTCTAAACAACCTTTACCAAGGATTATGGTAATTTTAAATGGAACAAATAATCTGCGTTTGTTAAAAGTTTTATCGAAGTTAACCTTGTCCATGATTATAAACTTATAGTGTCGTGGATGTAACGTCCTTCCTGTACTTTAGTGGGTATGCCCCTCTCGTGTATATGACTTTCCTAAAAGACTGCTTTAGGTAAATATGTGCTCAATAATGAGATACAACTGTATCTTAATATTTATAATCTTTAACCTCTATTACGGCTTTTAGTCTACGACGACCTACTGCAACATATGATGATCCAGGAGTTATCGTTGGCGATAGTAGCACTAATACCTACTCATCTTTAAAAGATGAAGTAGTATTTCCGAACAATTCCAGTAAATGGTACTCTAATGAGAACTCCGATCAAGATCCGATAATAGTACAAAGTAAGCCATTCCAGGCAGATCAAGATGACTGTAATTCGGTTATGGTGTAGTACTTTACTGTCTTAAAACTATGATGCAATATATTACATTTAAAACTAGAATAACCCTATCATGTCTTTAGCAAAAATATGTATTTATGCTGTTATGGAAGATGAAGTGACTCTCGATGTCATCACTTTCTCTTTAAATTTATTGTTATTTTGCACACTGACTGACAATTTATCACGATTACCATATTCCGAAGCGATACTAGAAAGCATAGCATTTGTAAATAGATACGCCATCGTTCAGTTCACTTGATACACTTTCTGTAAGCTAATACGAAAAAGACGACTTGTCATATATGAAAATGCCTTGGATCCTATTTTTATAAATTGGCTACATCAGATGCTAATCACTTTTCATCTCTAAATGTGGGTAACTTTTAAGCCATTACGCCTTACAATGATGATAATGCTGTAATTTGATGATCTGGAGTATTTTATAAGCGTAAATTTCAGTTATATCTTTCTGAAAATAAGAGCAGTATAGAATATTATGACATGATGCACATATAGATTACTTTTGAAGTAAAACTGCCACTAAAATCTCTAAGTATTACCTTATTGCTGATATTCAGGTGATGGTTATTTAATTGCATTTAGTGACCGTAATAATTTGAACAGATATACACTTTGATTAATTAAACACGGTGCAAATAACTTTTGTAAGACAGACCCAGAATTGTATCAATCACCATGTAATTTCTTGATTGATTTGTGGTACCGAAATAAATATCAACGAAAAATAAAAACTTTGTCTAAAATATTCTTATTGGATTGTTTTAGTATTATGCTGTACAATACCGCCATTATTATTAGATTTCAAAGTGTTATAGATTAATCCGCAGTAATGCAAGATTTTGATTCGTTATTGCCATATAAAACTAATAAGCCTGGTACTCAAATCTAAGAAAAGCTTGATCGAACGAGACTTAATGAAGATAAAACCTAGAAAGCCATAACAAACCTCACATTTACGGATGAATTCATCGAAAAATTATCATTACTATAAAGATTAAAATATTACGCATAATATATTGCGTTATAGCAATATTACGTCCTTGTATCCCATTTACCTTGCTATTAATATGAATCAAGAGCCAAAATGTTGGCTGCGATGATTGAGGAATTTCTTTAGTTTTATTTTCTGCTCTAATATACTGTATAAGATCTCCACCACCACATTATATATATTTGATGATATTGAAGTGCATAATGCTGCAACTATAAAGATATTAAAACTTGTTCAATCGATATATTTACGACTTCTATGGTATTTAAAGTATTGGCCGTCAGTAACTGTGTAAATACGATATGGCTACTTTCGCTAACTAAGTTTTAACCTTTTTTAACTATAATAAAGCAGTTTGAGTTCAACTGTTGCTACAACAGTATAATACTAGCATACTCAATTTATAGACATTCACACTATAGCATTTTATCTTCATCCATTGGTTACAGATGATGCTATCTGATTATCACCTTACATTTGTCTTTAAAGGATTACTTTCACAGCTACTTAACACAAATATTACGAAATTTCGTACAAAATTTTATAAGCCCAGCTGATATTATAATAACAACTATCAAACATTAAGAATTTCGTTAACGTACCGAATATAGCACTAGTCCATAGCTAACATCTAAGATATCATTAATTATGTATAGTAAAATCAAAACATAGCTTTACAACGATCTCTATTTATAATATTGATATGATATAGTATGAGTTAAAAATAAATGTATGATATGTCATAATATAGATTATACCTAGCATTTAAGATATCGAAATACCCGTATTTGCTAACTCATAGATGAGCAACGAAGCCCACAATGCCATAACCCTTAGTTCAGCGTAAAACTAGGATGGACAATATATACTTTGTTAATCTTTCATCACTACATCAAATCTAAGTAGGGTATTGTCATTAAAAATGGCTCTGTAAATAATATTAGTAGTTGCTACAATATATTTTCACATATACAATGCTTTTAAAAAAGCAAGGTATACTGCGTTAAAATAAGTATAGACGTGACGGTAGCTAAAATAGGCTGCGAAGTTATTTTAGAGGCAGAACTCGTCGGTGTTGGAGGTTGTATAGGCTTAGGTGTATAATTATTAGGAAATTGCGCTAACAAAGAATCAGGAAAATCAGTTCCAGAACGTCCAAAACACCAATTTTCAGGATCTACATTGCCTGTTCAAAAGCAGATAATTTCAACGTAAGATTTAAACGTAAAATAAATAACAGAATTAAGTGAATTAACTCTTAAGTATGCCCTAAATTTATCAATTTATAAATTGAAATTTTGTAAATACGTTAGAAAACTTACTTGGGCTTAACGTCAACCTATACCAGAAATTAACGTCAGTTGTCTCACAAGATTGACCTTGGCAGAAAAACTTGAAGTAAACCCTTTTACCTGCTGCCATCTTACATTCATTAATAGTACCCTAAGTTGATCAGATGAAGTGGTTATAAGATTTCACTAGTTAAAACAATTAATTCAGTTTAAAAAATCAGCCAAGTCATAACTTTTCTATCAATAAACTATAATATGGTGTATTAATGGCGTTGTTACTATCAATTCAATCTATCCAATGATGAAATCCCTCGCAAGTTTATATTTTTTATATGGTATAAGTTAGTATATTTAAGTGAAACACTTTCAGATTTATAATGCTATAGCAGCATACCTCTTGACAAATTGTATTATATCCATCGCCTTGGACACTAAGTGAAGGAAACGTGAATAGATCTCTTAAGTATAAGGTGGGACAAGCTAATAATTGCGGTTAAACTTGATATTGTTAATATTATTCCTTTTGTAAGCTAGAGCACACAGATTATGATTAAGATTGTATGATAAATCAAGCTTTTATCCTAAAAAATTTACTCTTTATGATAAAAACACTGTATAACTGCAATACACTTATATAGGATGTAGCGAACTCGACATTAAAATTTTTTATAGAGCTAGCATTTACAGTTACAGTATGGTTTATATATTAAATGAGGGACTTACCAAATCATCGAATTCGGTGGAGTTGTTTGAACCTTCAAAAGAAAGAATAGGCATGTTAGTATAATTATTCTAAATGCATTGACAAAGTTTTGTTAAGCAATCTAAATGTAATTCGTTATTAAATCGGCTAATGCCTATTTATGTGCTTGCATCAGTCTAATACAGTATTCAAATTAAATGCTCGTATAGATTATATTCACTGGTTAACTTCGAGATTAGATATTGACAATTCATGAAGTATTCCATGATTCAAATTAATTATTAGTACCCTATCTGCTATCACCTTGCCAACAAGCGATAGTTTCAGTATAGGGAAAGTTGTAAATGTTTTTGCGTACTTACGTTTGGGCATTATCGTTAGAAAGTAGACAATTTTACTAAGGCTTTGGATAGATAGCTAGATCAATAATTAGAAACTTACCATAACTTCGATAGCTTTACCATCTGCGTTGTCAACCCATACGCAAGGATCGCTCTTGCCATTAACTTGATAATGAAAAACATCATGTTTGAACCCTAATGGTCTGCAACTTAAATCCGTAAGACAAGAAACATTCCTATTATATTGACTTTGTTGAATTTCAAGGTAAGCAGGATTGGATGTCGAACATACAGCAGCCAATGATCCTATAAGAAGAAAGTATTAGTAAAGTAGTAATTAATATCAAAAGAGAGATGAATACTATTATATTTTAAAGTTAAACGATACGGGCGATTTTTACATATCAGTCACTGTAGTGGATGGGTTGTATAACCCTTTCGGTTGACAGTCACTAACTTAAAACTTGAGTAAATCTCTATAGTAGATAATTATCATACTTGCCATCAAATAATTACTTCATTAATTAAGCATAGTAAACTATTCTCCCTGTTAGTACTATCGTATTACATATTACTACTATCATCAGCAGAAATCTCTACAATGATAAAACTTTAACAGCGATAAATCAGGTCGTATTCGCAGACAACACGATTACTATACACGTTACTCTAACTAGGCTCTTGCGACGATAAATAAAAAAAAATTCACTGACATAAAGTAGATGGTAAAAAATATGGCAATAGAAAATCGTATTATTGTAGTGAGCAGCGATAGAAAAGCCATACTAATGCCCAAATCGTCAAGTATTTGGCAGCATCATCTAGTAATACACACAATTACTTAAATTTCCATGACTATTTCTGATCCATCCGTATCAATAATATTTCATTTCAAACACTATACAACGATCCTCTCAGCGTATAATACTAAGTTGTTCATAATTTCTCAACTTGTAACCGTTTGTGTATTAAACTATATTCAAAAACACAACATTAACTATCTTCAAACGCTAGTACATCTGCAGTAAGTTCATAACCCAATATTGAAATAGCTCTTGTCATATGCAGTAACTAAATAGAATTGCTTCCAAAATCGATGCTCTTCTTTTTGACATCGTCTATACCCCGGTAAATTTCTTCATAATCAATATCAAATTGACTCCAATTCAATCAGATTACATCAATTCAAAATAATACCTTGTGCCCATAACAATATCAAAGTAACCATTACACCAAATACACGGGTTAATGCCATATTTTATTCGATATTTCTATCCTAGCCACAAGTAGAAAAAAGGATGTAGAAAATTTCAAAAGTGATCGTTGCAAGTGCGATCGATAATTTGAACTAATGTCGAGGAAAAGCGGAAGGATTGCAGTCAACGGGTGTGGTAATTGCAAGGATTCTACTGTAGTATAGCCTTCCAATTTCTCCCTGTTTACAGTAGTGCCAAGTACTTGATGACCCCGAAAGCGATTTCTCACTTGCGATATAAATTCTAGTAGATTGTTGCATAGAAACCAGCGGACAGGATTTTCGAAAGTAATATGCTTAGTACCCGAGTATACCGTATCATACAGTAGCGAACGCTGGTGGTATTCGTATCCGATGCACTACTTGTAAAAAGTAAGCCTAAGAAATGAGTACAGCGGTTGTACTATAACTGTACGTCGAGACGAGCATTCTCGCCTTGGTAGACTATCTAGCAATTCCGCTGGCATCGAGGTATGGGAAAACCTTCATGACTGCTGTAGCACAGTTTTCTGGTTAGATTATGCTGTCTAAACAGATTCAATATACATTGAACTCTATCATTTATGTATATAGAACGGTAGTAGTATATTTGTATGAGATAAAGTACATACTGTATACGCAATAAGGTTAGGAAATGACTCTGGTGGTTATGCATTATCACAACGATTTTCACCTTGCTAGACTATGGAGTAATTGTGCTAGCATCGAGGTATAGGAAAACCTCCATGACTGCTGTAGTACAGCTTTCTAGTTAGATTATGCTGTCTAAACAGATTCAATATACATTGAACTCTATCATTCATGCATATAGAACGGTAGTAGTATATTTGTATGAGATAAAGTACATACTGTATTTGCAATAAGGTTAGGGAATGACTCTGGTGGTTATGCATTATCACAACGATTCTCACCTTGCTAGACTATGGAGTAATTGTGCTAGCATCGAGGTATAGGAAAACCTCCATGACTACTGTAGCACAGTTTTCTGGTTAGATTATGCTGTATAAATAGATTCAATATATATTGAACTCTATCATTCAAGTATATAGAACGGTAGTAGTATTTGTATGAGATAAAGTACATGTTCGGAATAACGTTAGGAAATGACTTTGGTGGTTATGCATTATCACAACGATTCTCACCTTGCTAGACTATGGAGTAATTATGCTAGCATCGAGGTGTAGGAAAACCTCCATGACTGCTGTAGCACAGCTTTCTGGTTAGATTATGCTGTCTAAACAGATTCAATATACATTGATCTCTATCATTCATATATATAGAACGGTAGTAGTATATTTGTATGAGATAAAGTACATACTGTATACGCAATAGGGTTAGGGAATGACTCTGGTGGTTATGTATTATCACAACGATTCTCACCTTGCTAGACTATGGAGTAATTGTGTTAGCATCGAGGAATAGGAAAACCTCCATGACTGCTGTAGCACAGCTATTTTAAGTTATTTTGCCCACGTTTGACTTAATATTACTGTGCTTTATATTAATTAGCTTATAACGCCAACATGCACAAGTATAAACTTATTTCATAAGCACATCGATAACGGCTACTATTCTTTCAATAAATAAGCTAATGTAAGAATTATTCGAGCTTACAGAATAGTTTATGAAGCATAAGGTAAATATTAGTGAGATAAAATTTCAGTTTTGCATAGCTTTTGGCCTCATGAGTACGTCGACTGTTTGCATCTGCAACCCTTAGTGCAACATGTATCGTTAAAACTCTTTCTATTATCTCCACAGCACAAAGCTACTAAATAAATAAAATTTGATAAATTAAACTTATTTAAAACGGAAGATTTATTCTTCTTCGAGGTAACAACAATGAAATTCTCATGAAGACGATTTAAAATTGTATAGCGAGATCCGATGCGATGTTTTTAGTAGATTTAAAAGAAAAATAATACAGAATTATGGAAATTTCTGCGAGTAATAAAGTATAGTGTAGTTAACCATTGTTACGATAATATCATCTTAAATTACTATGAGTGTATATTCCGAGGATTTTAAAGAGAGAAGTAAGTTGTTATGCTGGCAATATAATGACGAAATAAAAACAACGGAAGAAAATCAATAACAAATAAATATTATCATCTCAAAGTATGCATGAATTAAAAGAATTTTTACCAAATATGTACGATATTATACGTTACATGCCTAATATTACAAAAATAGGATCAAAATGGGATTTTTCCAACGAATTTCAATAATCGAGAAAAATAAATTCTATAAATATTGCAGAAATACTTTCTAGAAAAATAAGTTCGAAATATACAGGCGTTCACAATCGATAAAATTGAACTTTACTTTATTCTTACTAATGATTCGCTTTCTTATTATAGCTAAATCGTGATCAATTTATAAAATTTCCGTACTTCTATAAGTGTGCCAATAGCTGATAAGGTAGTAGACCTTCTAAAGCATTTTAGTTAAGTCTTTGTTTTCTATCCAATAAATAAGCTCAGATATATTTCTCTTGTTTACAATTTAATATAAATACAGAGATTATTTTCTTAAATTATATTATACGCCAGGATATCGTACTTGGATACCATCGAAATTTTCTATCATAATAATCTTGAATTGTTTGATCAAATCGGTGAAATAAAAGCATCAATGATTGTATTTATGCTTATATAAAATAGAATAGAACCAAAGGTTTATCCTTAGTTATAACAATTTATTTGACATTTGATAACTAATATAAGGTGACATTTTAATATAATACTGTTAAATTCTTTATTCTACTAAGGATTATAGTAAATCCAGCTCCAATTAAAGAATTCTTCATTCACTTGTCATAAGTACTTTAATGAACATAGCTTAATTTCACTTTCAATCAAGGCTTTTATTGAATTCGAATCTTCATTGCGGAATTTTTATGAGTAAAATTATCTATTTCTTCATTCAGAAATACAACGTACGTACTTTCGTATTCCTTCATCTTACTTAACGAAATACAATGTCTTTCCGTTTTCATTGCCGTGGTGCGAATGAACATTTAGGAAAATAAATAACATAAGCAAATATTTTGTACGGTAAATTCATCTTAATCGCTCGTAAATTCTTTAATAAATGAAAGGTTTTAAGTAGCACTACTATCAAATTTGTAACATAAACTGAGATTTTTTGAAGGTACTGTAATGTAAGATCAAAGCGAGTATGATGCAAAAGCATGTTATGATATGAACACCATTGAATAATAGTAAAATTGCTGCGATATACCTTTGTAACATGAGAGAATGCATATTTACAACACAACACAAGTAAATATATATTTACCACCATTCCAAATCAGGTCAAAACTTCGACAATAGATATGTTGCATGCTTATGTCAAAATCGATATTATCGATATTGACTAGTCAATATCAGTTTCAGTGAGTACTGTTGTTATAAATCTATATCTGTAACGAGGAAATTCAAACTACGACAAGAAATCTACCATTGTGAATCTATTGTAGGGTTTGCGTTTCCCGACATCTACCTGCAGTACGACTCTAATACTAACGATTCTTCATCGTTAGGAGGGAGAGTAAACACACCAATCTCTTTTAGACAAAACTGAACTAAAACTTTATTAAAAAGACAGCAAATTTATGGTAAATCCATATAAACATTAACTATCAGTGCTTAGATAATATTATAAAACTCTACACTTATCCGTCAAAAATGTATGAAATCATAGATAGCAAGTATTCTCGACAAATACGAAAGTATGTTATCCGATCGAAGTAAGGTAAGCACAAGTTAGCAAAGTCACTCCGCGATAAACATCATCTAAACGAAAGTTTTTAACCTAAATTTACTCCTTAGCATAGAAATAGCAATAATGTAAAATGGCCATATTGCTTTAGACAGTACTTGTCACACCTTATAGGATAAATCATATATTACGTTTAACGGAGCGCTTAGTCTTGTAAATATTATAGATTAGGAATTCAATATTTTTCAACATGTTAGCAATTATAAAAACTCATGTAGTGCGTTGTTGATTGAATCAAATTTAATAACATTATATAATATTAATTATCAGTACTTAGATAGCATTATAAAATTATGCTGTTGTCTGTCATCAAATATATAACGTCATATATAACGGTATCCTCAACAAATGCTAAAATGTGTTATCTGGCCAAAATATGATAAGCACTACTTAGTAAAAGTTAGATAGCATACATTACTAAAGAAGCAACCTATTCTTTATCATGTACCTGACAAGTTACTTATACTTAGCTTGTAGCGAGAAATTTTAAACGTATCATACTATAGGCCTTTTGAATCTGTCGCTGTAAAATTATATGGAAATTCGAAAATCTATATTTAGTAAGGAGGTGTTATACTTTTAAACCATGTTTTCTTATGACTTCCATATTACGATGTTGAAACTGAAGCTTGTCTTTAGTATATTGCTTATAGGATCATTTACAGAGCTGCTTTCTTCGTGACTGCAATTGAAGCTAATAGAATTATTAAGGTTAGAATTGCACTTAGAAGCTTATGCTACATTGCCTGGATAATTAATCAAGGTTAGGCTCCTTTAAAAGTTCTCTTTAAACTGATATCAATGAGTGCTTTCATCATTTTAAAGATCATATTATAAAATTTCATGAATGCCTTCAATATCGATATTAAGTTAATCTGATAAGCTCCAAACCTTAAGATGTACTATAAATAATGACTTCATGAATTCATTTATGACATGGTCGAACTACAGGAAATGAAATATAACACCTCTATTTGTGATGAATCCTTTCATTACGTGATGATACTATAAACAAATGCTCTGTTTGAGTTACGGATATCTTTCAATGCTCAAATGCAATCAACGCTGTACTGCCTTCAATTACTGGATATCACCATGAATAATAGCATACTTGAGTTATCTATAGTAATATACGAATAATATCAGAAGAAAGAATGCAAAAAGTAAATACCTTTTTTGATTCGTAGATACCTTTCAGTCCATCAATGCTGTGGATA